GACTCCCTCTTGAGATGGTTCGTCGAATTGGATGACGCCATAAGGGCGCGTCGCATCGACGACGGGGATATGCAAGTTGCATTTGCCCAGTCAAATCTGGCAGGACGTGCCAAGACTTGGGCACTGGGGCTCAAGTTGCACGACCCATATGCGTTTGGGTCGTTGGAAGTCTTCAAGTCGCGGCTCAGACAAACGTTTGAACCGCCTAGAGCTGAGTTCAGAGCTCGAACCGAACTATTGAAGATCAAACAGGGTAAGCGTGATGTGCACGCTTATGCTCAACATATACGACATCTCACGAGTTGTATAAGTTCCAATCCGGTGGATGAACACACGTTGGTTTCGGTGTTCATGCAGGGTCTTGCGGATGGTCCCGTCAAGACTCACCTGTTTCGGCTTGAACTAGATTCACGAGAACAAGCCATTTCCATTGCGGAGCAGGAAGACTTCAGTCTGAGACAGGCTCGCGCCAGCTCGACATCATATCGTCAACCGAGACGATATGACAACGGAGGTCCAGAGCCGATGGAACTCTGTTATGTAGAGAGCGACAAGGCTCGCTCTACAGGCTACAAGAAGTTGCAGAGATGCAACAGATGTCAAAAGACAGGACACTACGCTTACGAGTGTAGTGCCCCTCGTCCAGTGTCTCGCGACACTGGGCGTAGTGACCGTCCACCCATGAGAAAGGGGCAGGTACGCGGGCCCGCTGTTGGTGCAAAGACGCAACGCCGAGATGTACCGTCAAAAAACGGACAGGATCAGTTGGTGCGGAGCACCCTACTGGTCCAGCTACGTCGAGGGAGTTTGCAGGCCTCTTGATGAAGGTTGCTCCCAACACACAGACGTTGTGCGTTGCTGCTCTAGGTAATGAGATCTCACTCATTACCTTGAAACCCGAAGAGACAAATAAGTTGTCCCTTCGAGCTCTAGTCGATTGTGGGGCGTCCAACAATTTTGTGCGACGCCAATCGCTAGAAGATGGTCACTTTAAATTCAGTGAATGTGACACACCTCCTACGAGGATGACGGTACGTCTTGCGACAGGCGCATCCGTAACCGTCATGAAGCGTATAGTGAAGATCCACTATACGCTAGAAGATACCCAATATAACGATGACTTTATCGTATTGGATTTGGATGACAAATTTGATGTCATCCTTGGAATACCGTGGCTCAGAAGGTACGAACCACGGGTAAACTGGCAACATCGAACAGTAACGATGCCTGCCGCTTGTTCATCAGATGGCCATCTGATGAACGTTTTGGAGCGTCCACAAGCGTGTGGATGTACTACGAGTGAGTGCGATGGCCTCACTTGTGGTACGGTCGTTAGTACGACTGCACAAAACCTTAGTGTACCAAACGGTTACACTTCGGAGCAAAGTTTCGGCGGCTGTGAGGAAACACAGGCTGCGCCGAAGGTCCACCACTCGAACAAGTCGGGTGGACTGGGACAAAGGTGTATCCCTAGCGGGGAACATCTAGAAGAGAAACAATCGATCGCTCAGGTTAAGCGAAACGATAATCCTAGATCGACTGGAGAGTCTTTCGTAGAGGATCTCGCTGTGGTTGCGCAACCCCAGCTAGAGGAAGTAAAGGGAATAAGTCCCAAGATTACAAATACGGCGGAAATAAGTTCCCCGAAACCCGCGGGAATAGGTCCCCGGGAAGCCGAAGGAATAAGTCCTTCGAAGCTTGAGGGAATAAGTCCCCAGGAAATGACAGAGACATTGAATGTCATAGTCAATAACGGATCAAGTGTAGGCGCTTATACACTTGATCTGATTGCGCCTCCGAAGTTAACTTCGGAGATCACTCAGTTGCCAACGCTCGAACATAAAAGGTTCTTGCGTGATCTGCGTAGTGGCAAAGTCAAGCAGATCTGCATACTCGTCGCTGACGACGAGTGTGTAACCGACATAAGGTCAGCAACAGTGTTCACTGAGAACGAGAGAGTTCTCAGTAGTTCATCTATGGACGAGATTGTCCTAGATGAAAAGACACGAGTTGAGCGATATGACTCCCAATCGTGGGAATCGCTCAAGACAAATCCTCTCTATGAAGATTTGGTTGTATTCAAGGCTTTATTACCTGAAACTGCTCCGTGCGAGTTACCAAAGGATAAAGGTACTCGACACGAGGTCGAGCTTAAACCAGGCTCGAAGTACTGTGTCACGAAGCAGTGGCCACTGCCTCGTGAACAAGTACTTGCGATCGACAAGTTCTTTGCCGATCGTTTAGCTGCGGGCCATGTGAGGGAATCAACTTCCCCACATAGCTCTCCGACCTTCTGTGTGCGAAAAGCAACAGGAGGGTGGCGGATAGTGCACGCGTTCAACAAATTGAACGCTGCAACGGTACCGGCTCAGACGCCGATACCGAGGAAGGACGTAATCATTGATGGTATGTCAAAGAGTACCATCTTTTCGTCCATGGATTTGATGGATGGCTTCTATCAAATCCTTATGCGGGAACGGGATATACCCTATACCGCAGTTAGCACGCCTAGCGGCATGCTCTGGGAATGGCTAGTAATGCCACAAGGGCTTAGTAATGACCCTGCCACGTTCAACAGATGTGTATCACACCTGTTGAGACCAGTACGAGAATTCGCGCCGAGTTATTTCGATGACGTATTCATCCATAGTCGAGCTATGGATGGAAAGTCGGACGTTGAGGTTCACAGGTACCACGTCCGACAAGTTCTTACAATCATGCGAAAGCATCAATTGTATGCTAACCTCAAGAAGTGTATATTTGCAGCAAGCGAAATACCACTTCTTGGGTGCATCGCTGGTAAGAACGGTGTACGTCCTGATCCCGAACAGATCAAGGCGATCACCGACTGGCCTGTGCCGGTTGATGTCAAAGGTCTTCGAAAATTCCTTGGGCTAGCGGCGTATTTGCATAAGTATTCACGCAATTACGCCGAGATGACTGTGCACCTCTCTCGTTTGTTGAAAAAGAACGAGAGGTGGTTATGGAACGCTGAATGTCAGCGCTCCTTTGAGGGTATCAAGCAGAGCTTGATACAATCCCCAGTCCTAGCAATAGCCGATCAGGACAGGCCATTTCATGTGGTCTGTGATGCCAGCGATTTTGCAATCGGCTGTGCATTATTGCAGTACGATCTTGAAGGCGTTGAACGCGTCGTCTGCTATCAGTCGCGTCAGCTGCAACCAGCTGAGCGGAACTATCCAGTGCATGACAAGGAACTCCTTGCCATGAAGTATGCACTCGCGAAGTTCAGAGTCTATCTATTAGGAGATAGACCCTTCGTTGTTTCCACTGACCATGCGTCGTTACGCACGGCAGTAAACAGCCCGCACCTTTCACAATGAGTGGCGCGGTGATTGTCATTCTTTGCAGAATACAACTTTACGGTCGAGTACAAACCAGGACGACTTAATGTCGTCGCTGATGCACTCTCACGTCGTCCCGACTTTGAACCAGTCGCGAAACCCAACAGTGAGACAGTCACTGTTGCGGTTATGACGTCCTCAGTCCCATCTACAACGTTGTATGATGATGTGAGGCGGGCATACGCCCAAGATGGTGAGATGTGAAGTTGTTGACACATCTCTCCCAACCATTTCGAGAATCGTTGAAGCGATTGTCGTCTGCATATCGATCTGCATCAGATCGATGCACTACTCGTAACGGTTTACTGTATTATACAGCCGTTTCTGGTGACACACCACGTGTTGTCATTCCAGATGATACTGATCTGCGTTTGCGGATCATGTTCGAGTATCACGATGCTCCTATAGGAGGACATCGTGGCCGAGAGAAAACATATCTCACGGTAAGTCGAGACTTTTACTGGCCCCGCCAGTATCAGTTTGTGCGAAAGTATGTTCGCGCATGCGAAGTCTGCCAACGAGTGAAGTCAAGTCCTTCACTGCGTGCACCTTTACAGCCTCTGCTGATTCCGGCTGAGTGCTGGGAATCCATATCAATGGATTTCGTCTTCGGGTTACCCAAAGACGCACGCGGGAATACGGGTATTCTCGTATTTGTTGACAGATTCAGCAAAATGGTACACCTTGTGGCTGTACCAGAGACAATCACGGCAAGTGGCTGTGCTTGTGTCTTTATTGACACCATCTTCCGACTTCATGGGTTGCCCCGTGAACTCGTATCAGACAGATATCCACGCTTCACATCTGATTTCTGGCGTTCCGTGTTCAAATCACTCGGAACGCGCTTGAAGATGTCAACATCTGATCATCCAGAGTCAGATGGTCAGACGGAACGTGCCAATCGTGTCCTTGAAGAGATACTTCGAGGATACGTACACTCCTTTAAGAATTGGAGTGAGTTTTTGCCAATGGTAGAGTTTGCCATCAACAACTCGGTGCATGCGTCCACGACACATACAACGTTTTACGTGAATGGCTTGCGCCATCCGCGTGTACCCACCTTACTAGAGTGTAACTCTGGTTTAAGGGGGGGAGGGAATCGCGCGAGCAAAAACCGATTTGGTTCACGCTCATCACGCTCTGACGAAGAGGTCATTGCGTTTGATGCCGATATCGATAACATCGATATTGAAGAAGATGATGCCAGTGAGAGTGCGGAAGCCCTCACTGAAGACAATGATCCCAGTGAGAGTGCGGAAGCCCTCACTGAAGAAAAGGTTGTTGTTGCTGCAGTGCGCTCACAGCACACTGAAGCTAACGAGTCATCAGATGAGTTCATACTGGCTCGCGAAACGGTAGTCCGTTTTGTGCAAGACTCCATCGCCGAAGCGGTGGATAAGCAAAAGCAAAACGCTGACAAGAATGGAAGGGCAAACACTCTTTTATTTAATAAATCTGACTTAGTCCTACTGTCTACGGTTAATCTACCAAAGCATGTAGTGACTAACTTGGGTAGCAGTAAACTACTACCCAAGTACATTGGCCCATTTCGTGTATTGCACCGCCTAGGCAATGCATACACGATCGAGTTACCACGTAAGATGCGAACGCATCCCACGTTTTACGTTGGTCGGCTTAAGCCGTACCATCAGTACGCTGCTTCTTCCGATGAAGAACGCCCTTGCGCTCAAGCATCTCGCAGAGAGCCTTGTGCTCCCGATGGTGGGCATCAACAAGGGTCTGAAGAGCAGCTATCTCATCCCGAGACCGATCAGCAATCCCACGAGCTACCCTTAGCTCGTCACGAAGAGATGTCAGAGATCTCTCGTTCTCAAGCTGAGCAAAGGCAAACTCAGCTCGATGCTTCGAGGCAGTGTCCACCATCTGGAGACGCCTATTCCGCTCATGTTCGAGATCGTCGCGTAACCCTTGCGTTACGCGATCAAAGAAGCTCTCGGGAACACACCGATCCACATGATCGTGTGGAGAGCGTCTTTCCTCCTCCTCCACCTCCATTAGAGGACTCTCGCGGTGGCCAGCGCTATCTAGTTGAGCAGCTGTTGAACCACCGCGACGTGAACGGACGTCGGACGAGTTATCTCGTCCGGTGGCGCGGCTATCCCCCGTCCTGGGATTCTTGGGAGCCCCGCTCCCAACTGATGATCGACGTACTGGGTCTGGTTGAGCAGTACGACGCGGCACATCCTGTGCCGCAGAAGGACCGCCGGAGAAAGTCTTCCCGGCACGGTCGTAAAGAGATTTCAGGTTGTCAATCCCTTCGTACATCTCAGTAGAGACACGTACGCGCCACCACGGGCTGGTAAGGAGGTAAGCCTCCTTAGGTGCTCGTGCAGAGTTGTTGACACAACATGGGCACGAGTCTCCCCAAGAGAGGCAGGGTAATCCTTTCTCCCTTGACAGACGATGCAGCTTGTAGCGTGCACCTGTGGGGGTTCGCTTTTCAAACTTATCACGAGCTTTGATAAGTTTGTCGTTCCAAGCGTCACGGACCTACATCCTCGAGGTTATGGATGTAGGCGTTCCACGCCTGAAGTAGTGAGGGACCATCACGTTTGTGATTCCCACTGTACCATCGATGTCTAAAGAAAGCATCGATGAAGAATTCATGTTCAGCGCGATAGTTTTTCGCGCTGGGGTCAAGGTGATGGATCCTTGACGAATCGAACAATCGTGTTCGATAACGATCACTCGTCGTCGCCGACAAGTGATCCATGATGGATTTTGGATGCATCCATGTCTTCTTTTCTGGAGCGAGACGCAAGACATTGCGGTCCCGCTCTTCCTGCGACGTGCCGACAGAAGTACTGGCACCTCGCTGTGAAGTGGTGTCCATTGGAGAACCGACACCACTATTAGCGCCCGAGTCTCGCGACCTCGAGCGCCTTCATTTCGGTGATGGTTCATCTGATTCATCAGATGAACCAAAGATGCTGCGACGCAAAGCATCGTCCATGCCACGCTTGGCAGGCGGCTTAGATTCAATCGCCGTCGATACGGATCCGTCATCCGTATCAGGAGAGTACGAGACACCGAGCTCGTACTCTGTGAAGACAAGAGTGTCTTCATGACCAGCGCCTGCATCACCAAGTGACACAGGCTGGGTCGCTTCAGCAACCGATGGGACATCAGTTGCTGTTGTTTCTGCTTCGGCGTCCGCACAGAGACGTGCAGACGCGCTCTCGGCGGCCTTGCTCGCGCATCGCATGGGCTTGTTTACCATGCGATGAATTGTTGGAAAGTGGACTCGGACCAACAAGTGCAAACCCTGTCCCAAATGATTTGGGACGAGTATCGATTTAGTCAATCAGTCACTAAAGTGACTGATGGTTAAGGGGGGGTGATGTAACGGGGTGAATCGTTACACAACAATTTATAAGAAATTGTTTTAGAATAAAACTATAAGAGTTATATTCTCAGAATATTGTCATAAGAACAAATATTCTGTAGCACTTACAAGTAGTTCCTAATTGGTTGATATAGGCCATTATATCAACCAACGAAGACGCGCCACGACAGACGCACGCAATGAGTGGTGAGCAGATAACTGATTTACACATTTGTATTTAGACATAGTTAGATGAAGATAAATAGTGATTTATTGCAGACATTAACTATTATAAATACAGTTCTACTTTTTACTCTAACCAAGTACTCGCTTCTTCTTACCGTCTTCCTCTGCACGTACGAGTGTACGTGAAGTTACGAGGCACCGCCTTATTCTGTCATCAGAATAAGTAGCTTGTACTGTCACCAGTACAAGCTTCAGGGTGCCCCGTTACAGGCCATCTTAAGAGCAATGAATGGGCAGCACGACAGTACGTCTATAACGATGATGTGAAAATGATACGAATAACATTTCCACATTGGCCGTCACTCATCCGTACTTGGAAGAAGAAGCAATTACTCTTAACCCACGGGAATTCGCTGGATCAGCAATGACGTCGACCCACGATCCTTTTACGGCAGCTCTACTCGCTCGTCATTTTTCTCGTTTGCCGTACACTGCCTAACTTACTGCTAGGTATCTGCGTCTGCAATTTTTCGCCACGGAAGGCCACGCTGTGTGTCTTATAGCTTAACGATTTACATATCTACTGAGTTGAGTTTACTTCGCAGCGGGTAAGTAATTTCGATATCTTCTTCAGACGAGTAAAATCAGCTAACATCAGTGAGCGATTTATCGACAGCATCTTCGATAGAAATATCATCACACTCATCGACTGTATTGGGGCTTTCGCCTTCTTTGCTAGCCTTACGATCCGCTTCTTCATCGTCGGACTCTACTGTGTTGATCCCGTATAGTAGCAGATTTACTTAGCGCTCCTTAATAGAGGATGTAACGGGGCACCCTGAAGCTTGTACTGGTGACAGTACAAGCTACTTATTCTGATGACAGAATAAGGCGGTGCCTCGTAACTTCACGTACACTCGTACGTGCAGAGGAAGACGGTAAGAAGAAGCGAGTACTTGGTTAAATTAAAAAGTAGAACTGTATTTATAATAGTTAATGTCTGCAATAAATCACTATTTATCTTCATCTAACTATGTCTAAATACAAATGTGTAAATCAGTTATCTGCTCACCACTCATTGCGTGCGTCTGTCGTGGCGCGTCTTCGTTGGTTGATATAATGGCCTATATCAACCAATTAGGAACTACTTGTAAGTGCTACAGAATATTTGTCCTTATGACAATATTCTGAGAATATAACTCTTATAGTTATATTCTATTAACAATTTCTTATAAATTGTTGTGTAACGATTCACCCCGTTACATCACCCCCCCCTTAACCATCAGTCACTTTAGTGACTGATTGACTAAATCGATACTCGTCCCAAATCATTTGGGACAGGGTTTGCACTTGTTGGTCCGAGTCCACTTTCCAACAATTCATCGCATGGTAAACAAGCCCATGCGATGCGCGAGCAAGGCCGCCGAGAGCGCGTCTGCACGTCTCTGTGCGGACGCCGAAGCAGAAACAACAGCAACTGATGTCCCATCGGTTGCTGAATCGACTCAGCCTGTGTCACTTGGTGATGCAGGCGCTGGTCATGAAGACACTCTTGTCTTCACAGAGTACGAGCTCGGTGTCTCGTACTCTCCTGATACGGATGACGGATCCGTATCGACGGCGATTGAATCTAAGCCGCCTGCCAAGCGTGGCATGGACGATGCTTTGCGTCGCAGCATCTTTGGTTCATCTGATGAATCAGATGAACCATCACCGAAATGAAGGCGCTCGACGTCGCGAGACTCGGGCGCTAATAGTGGTGTCGGTTCTCCTATGGACACCACTTCACAGCGAGGTGCCAGTACTTCTGTCGGCACGTCGCAGGAAGAGCGGGACCGCAATGTCTTGCGTCTCGCTCCAGAAAAGAAGACATGGATGCATCCAAAATCCGTCATGGATCACTTGTCGGCGACGACGAGTGATCGTTATCGAACACGATTGTTCGATTCGTCAAGGATCCATCACCTTGACCCCAGCGCGAAAAACTATCGCGCTGAACATGAATTTTCTTCATCGATGCTTTCTTTAGACATCGATGGTACAGTGGGAATCACAAACGTGATGGTCCCTCACTACTTCAGGCGTGGAACGCCTACATCCATAACCTCGAGGATGTAGGCCGTGACGCTTGGAACGACAAACTTATCAAAGCTCGTGATAAGTTTGATAAGCGAACCCCGACAGGTGCACGCTACAAGCTGCATCGTCTGTCAAGGGAGAAAGGATTACCCTGCCTCTCTTGGGGAGACTCGTGCCCATGTTGTGTGAACAACTCTGCACGAGCACCTAAGGAGGCTTACCTCCTTACCAGCCCGTGGTGGCGCGTACGTGTCTCTACTGAGATGTACGAAGGGATTGACAACCTGAAATCTCTTTACGACCGTGCCGGGAAGGCTTTCTCCGGCGGTCCTTCTGCGGCACAGGATGTGCCGCGTCGTACTGCTCAACCAGACCCAGTACGTCGATCATCAGTTGGGAGCGGGGCTCCCAAGAATCCCAGGACGGGGGATAGCCGCGCCACCGGACGAGATAACTCGTCCGACGTCCGTTCACGTCGCGGTGGTTCAACAGCTGCTCAACTAGATAGCGCTGGCCACCGCGAGAGTCCTCTAATGGAGGTGGAGGAGGAGGAAAGACGCTCTCCACACGATCATGTGGATCGGTGTGTTCCCGAGAGCTTTTTGATCGCGTAACGCAAGGGTTACGCGACGATCTCGAACATGAGCGGAATAGGCGTCTCCAGATGGTGGACACTGCCTCGAAGCATCGAGCTGAGTTTGCCTTTGCTCAGCTTGAGAACGAGAGATCTCTGACATCTCTTCGTGACGAGCTAAGGGTAGCTCGTGGGATTGCTGATCGGTCTCGGGATGAGATAGCTGCTCTTCAGACCCTTGTTGATGCCCACCATTGGGAGCACAAGGCTCTCTGCGAGATGCTTGAGCGCAAGGGCGTTCTTCATCGGAAGAAGCAGCGTACTGATGGTACGGCTTAAGCCGACCAACGTAAAACGTGGGATGCGTTCGCATCTTACGTGGTAACCCGATCGTGTATGCATTGCCTAGGCGGGGCAAAACACGAAATGGGCCGATGTACTTGGGTAGTAGTTTACTGCTACCCAAGTTAGTCACTACATGCTTTGGTAGATTAACCGTAGACAGTAGGACTAAGTCAGATTTATTAAATAAAAGAGTGTTTGCCCTTCCATTCTTGTCAGCGTTTTGCTTTTGCTTATCCACCGCTTCGGCGATGGAGTCTTGCACAAAACAGACTACCGTTTCACGAGCCAGTATGAACTCATCTGATGACTCATTAGCTTCAGTGTGCTGTGAGCGCACTGCAGCAACATCAACCTTTTCTTCAGTGAGGGCTTCCGCACTCTCACTGGCATCATCTTCTTCAGTGAGGGCTTCCGCACTCTCACTGGCATCATCTTCTTCAATATCGATGTTATCGATATCGGCATCAAACGCAATGACCTCTTCGTCAGAGCGTGATGAGCGTGAACCAAATCGGTTTTTGCTCGCGCGAGTCCCTCCCCCTTAAACCAGAGTTACACTCTAGTAAGGTGGGTACACGCGGATGGCGCAAGCCATTCACGTAAAACGGTGTATGTGTCGTGGACGCATGCACCGAGTTGTTGATGGCAAACTCTACCATTGGCAAAAACTCACTCCAACTCTTAAAGGAGTGTACGCATCCTCGAAGTATCTCTTCAAGGACACGATTGGCACGTTCCGTCTGACCATCTGACTCTGGATGATCAGATGTCGACATCTTCAAGCGCGTTCCGAGTGATTTGAACACGGAACGCCAGAAATCAGCAGTGAATCGTGGATCTCTGTCTGATACGAGTTCATGGGGCAACCCATGAAGTCGGAAGATGGTGTCAATAAAGACACAATCACAGCCACTTGCCGTGATTGTCTCTGGTACAGCCACAAGGTGTACCATTTTGCTGAATCTGTCAACAAATACGAGAATACCCGTATTCCCGCGTGCGTCTTCGGATAACCCGAAGACGAAATCCATTGAGATGGATTCCCAGCACTCAGCCGGAACCGGTAGAGGCTGTAAAGGTGCACGCAGTGAAGGACTTGACTTCACTCGTTGGCAGACTTCGCATGCGCGAACATACTTTCGCACAAACTGATACTGGCGGGGCCAGTAAAAGTCTCGACTTACCGTGAGATATGTTTTCTCTCGGCCACGATGTCCTCCTGTAGGAGCATCGTGATACTCGAACATGATCCGCAAACGCAGATCAGTATAATCTGGAATGACGACACGTGGTGTGTCACCAGAAACGGCTGTATAATGCAGTAAACCGTTACGAGTAGTGTATCGATCTGATGCAGATCGATACGCAGACGACAATCGCTTCAACGATTCTCGAGATGGTTGGGAGAGATGTGTCAACAACTTCACAATCTCACCATCTTGGGCATGCGCCCGCCTCACATCATCATGCAACGTTGTAGATGGGACTGAGGACGTCATAACCGCAACAGTGGCTGTCTCACTGTTGGTTTTCACGACTGGTTCAAAGTCGGGACGACGTGAGAGTGCATCAGTGACGACATTAAGTCGTCCTGGTTTGTACTCGACCGTAAAGTTGTATTCTGCAAAGAATGACAATCACCGTGCCACTCATTGTGAAAGGTGCGGGCTGTTTACTGCCGTGCGTAACGACGCATGGTCAGTGGAAACAACGAAGGGTCTATCTCCTAATAGATAGACTCTGAACTTCGCGAGTGCATACTTCATGGCAAGGAGTTCCTTGTCATGCACTGGATAGTTCCGCTCAGCTGGTTGCAGCTGACGCGACTGATAGCAGACGACGCGTTCAACGCCTTCAAGATCGTACTGCATTAGTGCACAGCCGATTGCAAAATCGCTGGCATCACAGACCACATGAAATGGCCTGTCCTGATCGGCTATTGCTAGGACTGGGGATTGTATCAAGCTCTGCTTGATACCCTCAAAGGAGCGCTGACATTCAGCGTTCCATAACCACCTCTCGTTCTTTTTCAACAAACGAGAGAGGTGCACAGTCATCTCGGCGTAATTGCGTGAATACTTATGCAAATACGCCGCTAGCCCAAGGAATTTTCGAAGACCTTTGACATCAACCGGCACAGGCCAGTCGGTGATCGCCTTGATCTTTTCGGGATCAGGACGTACACCGTTCTTACCAGCGATGCACCTAAGAAGTGGTATTTCGCTTGCTGCAAATATACACTTCTTGAGGTTTGCATACAATTGATGCTTTCGCATGATTGTAAGAACTTGTCGGACGTGGTACCTGTGAACCTCAACGTCCGACTTTCCATCCATAGCTCGACTATGGATGAATACGTCATCGAAATAATTCGGCGCGAATTCTCGTACTGGTCTCAACAGGTGTGATACACATCTGTTGAACGTGGCAGGGGCATTACTAAGCCCTTGTGGCATTACTAGCCATTCCCAGAGCATGTCGCTAGGCGTGCTAACTGCGGTATAGGGTATATCCCGTTCCCGCATAAGGATTTGATAGAAGCCATCCATCAAATCCATGGACGAAAAGATGGTACTCTTTGACATACCATCAATGATTACGTCCTTCCTCGGTATCGGCGTCTGAGCCGGTACCGTTGCAGCGATCAATTTGTTGAACGCGTGCACTATCCGCCACCCTCCTGTTGCTTTTCGCACACAGAAGGTCGGAGAGCTATGTGGGGAAGTTGATTCCCTCACATGGCCCGCAGCTAAACGATCGGCAAAGAACTTGTCGATCGCAAGTACTTGTTCACGAGGCAGTGGCCACTGCTTCGTGACACAGTACTTCGAGCCTGGTTTAAGCTCGACCTCGTGTCGAGTACCTTTATCCTTTGGTAACTCGCACGGAGCAGTTTCAGGTAATAAAGCCTTGAATACAACCAAATCTTCATAGAGAGGATTTGTCTTGAGCGATTCCCACGATTGGGAGTCATATCGCTCAACTCGTGTCTTTTCATCTAGGACAATCTCGTCCATAGATGAACTACTGAGAACTCTCTCGTTCTCAGTGAACACTGTTGCTGACCTTATGTCGGTTACACACTCGTCGTCAGCGACGAGTATGCAGATCTGCTTGACTTTGCCACTACGCAGATCACGCAAGAACCTTTTATGTTCGAGCGTTGTCAACTGAGTGATCTCCGAAGTTAACTTCGGAGGCGCAATCAGATCAAGTGTATAAGCGCCTACACTTGATCCGTTATTGACTATGACATTCAATGTCTCTGTCATTTCCTGGGGACTTATTCCCTCAAGCTTCGAAGGACTTATTCCTTCGTCTTCCCGGGGACCTATTCCCGCGGGTTTCGGGGAACTTATTTCCGCCGTATTTGTAATCTTGGGACTTATTCCCTTTACTTCCTCTAGCTGGGGTTGCGCAACCACAGCGAGATCCTCTACGAAAGACTCTCCAGTCGATCTAGGATTATCGTTTCGCTTAACCTGAGCGATCGATTGTTTCTCTTCTAGATGTTCCCCGCTAGGGATACACCTTTGTCCCAGTCCACCCGACTTGTTCGAGTGGTGGACCTTCGGCGCAGCCTGTGTTTCCTCACAGCCGCCGGAACTTTGCTCCGAAGTGTAACCGTTTGGTACACTAAGGTTTTGTGCAGTCGTACTAACGACCGTACCACAAGTGAGGCCATCGCACTCACTCATAGTACATCCACACGCTTGTGGACGCTCCAAAACGTTCATCAGATGGCCATCTGATGAACAAGCGGCAGGCATCGTTACTGTCCGATGTTGCCAGTTTACCCGTGGTTCGTACCTTCTGAGCCACGGTATTCCAAGGATGACATCAAATTTGTCATCCAAATCCAATACGATAAAGTCATCGTTATATTGGGTATCTTCTAGCGTATAGTGGATCTTCACTATACGCTTCATGACGGTTACGGATGCGCCTGTCGCAAGACGTACCGTCATCCTCGTAGGAGGTGTGTCACATTCACTGAATTTAAAGTGACCATCTTCTAGCGATTGGCGTCGCACAAAATTGTTGGACGCCCCACAATCGACTAGAGCTCGAAGGGACAACTTATTCGTCACTTCGGGTTTCAAGGTAATGAGTGAGATCTCATTACCTAGAGCAGCAACGCACAACGTCTGTGTGTTGGGAGCAACCTTCATCAAGAGGCCTACAAATTCTCTTGACGTTGCTGGATCAGTAGGGTGCTCCGCACCAACTGATCCTGTCCGTTTTTTGACGATCCATCCCGTTGTTGCGTCTTTGCACCAACTGCGGACCCTCGTCCCTGCCCCTTTCTCATGGGTGGACGGTCACTACGCCCAGTGTCGCGAGACACTGGACGAGGGGCACTACACTCGTAAGCGTAGTGTCCTGTCTTTTGACATCTGTTGCATCTCTGCAACTTCTTGTAGCCTGTAGAGCGAGCCTTCTCGCTCTCTACATAACAGAGTTCCATCGGCTCTGGACCTCCGTTGTCATATCGTCTCGGTTGACGATATGATGTCGAGCTGGCGCGAGCCTGTCTCAGACTGAAGTCTTCCTGCTCCGCAATGGAAATGGCTTGTTCTAGTGAATCTAGTTCAAGCCGGAACAGGTGAGTCTTGACGGGACCATCCGCAAGACCCTGCATGAACACCGAAACCAACGTGTGTTCATCCACTGGATTGGAACTTATACAACTCGTGAGATGTCGTATATGTTGAGCATAAGCTTGCACATCACGCTTACCCTGTTTGAGCTTCAATAGTTCGGTTCGAGCTCTGAACTCAGCTCTAGGCGGTTCAAACGTTTGTCTGAGCCGCGACTTGAAGACTTCCAACGACCCAAACGCATATGGGTCGTGCAACTTGAGCCCCAGTGCCCAAGTCTTGGCACGTCCTGCCAGATTTGACTGGGCAAATGCAACTTGCATATCCCCGTCGTCGATGCGACGCGCCCTTATGGCGTCATCCAATTCGACGAACCATCTCAAGAGGGAGTCTTCTTCGACCCCCCTATACTTGGAGATGTCAATCTTCAAAGTCTCGGGTCGACGCGAATGCATCGACCCGCCAGCAGCAGCCTGCTGCTGTCTCAACAGTTCAAACTGTTGAGCACCCTGTTCTCTCAACAACTCTGCTTGTTGAGAACCTTGTTGGTGAAGCAAGGCTACTTTCTCGCGTTCAGCGTCAAGTTCATTTTGAATGAACTTGGCGATAGTAGCATGTTGGGCATCTCTATTGAGAGCCTCTAGCATGACGCTAACAGCATTGATGTCCATGGTTGAACCCATCCGTTCAACCGCATCCCATTCGCCATCGCTCAAATGGGAGTAGCCGTCACGCGTAGCGTGAAAGCTTTGATCATCTTCATCATCCAACATATTCATGTTGGATGTGAACGCGGTCCTTGGACGGACTACGAAGTGCTACCAGGTGTAACGGGGCACCCTGAAGCTTGTACTGGTGACAGTACAAGCTACTTCTTCTGATGACAGAATAAGGCGGTGCCTCGTAACTTCACGTACACTCGTACGTGCAGAGGAAGACGGTAAGAAGAAGCGAGTACTTGGTTAAATTAAAAAGTAGAACTGTATTTATAATAGTTAATGTCTGCAATAAATCACTATTTATCTTCATCTAACTATGTCTAAATACAAATGTGTAAATCAGTTATCTGCTCACCACTCATTGCGTGCGTCTGTCGTGGCGCGTCTTCGTTGGTTGATATAATGGCCTATATCAACCAATTAGGAACTACTTGTAAGTGCTACAGAATATTTGTCCTTATGACAATATTCTGAGAATATAACTCTTATGGTTATATTCTATTAACAATTTCTTATAAATTGTTATGTAGCGATTCACCCCGTTACATGACCCCCGCGGCGTCCAGAGGACTCGATGGGCGTCAAACTTTTACTCTCTAGTTTGTCGTTATCGGGATATCCTTATCCGGTAGACACGACTCAGGATGTCAGTGGCGTCGAGTCAACCCGAAGAGTTTTGGCACTTGTCTGAACAATGAATTCGTCAGCGGTCCTTACCCAACCCGACTTACTTTTCTCGCCCGGTGATAGCTAAGTTATATCCTTGCTATGTAGATTGTCTCGTGCTCTTTGCAATCACTGCAATCCTGCACACACGGATACCAATGTCCTCTCATGCCGACAAGCTAAATTGGCTACATTTGGACTGCTGTACAACAAGTCGGAAAAGCGCGGGTGCACCATTATTGTAAGAGATTCATTCTCGTCGAACATGATATTGGTCGTCTTTGGTGCCGATCCAATACAAACGCTAGTCTCCGTCCGACACCGTTTACCTGCAGGTCAGACAGTGTAATTGAATGGAAGGATCTCTGCAAATACGTCATTATAATATCGAAAGTTGTCGGCGATAGCCAGATGCGTGGGTGTCTTCTTGCATCACAGAGCGAGCAACCTACTGGTAACACCTTCGAAGCCAAAAATTCTAGCAGAAACGTCTATGTGAGTTGTGAACACCGGTATAGCGCCTGCGGGGATAGCATCGGTGCCTGTGCGTGCATACTCGGGCAATACTCTGCACGCGATGTGCTAGCCAAAACATTTGAGACTCCTGCACGCCATCAAACTTGCATGACGGATTGCATTGACCGTTGTAAACGATGTATCATTGCTTTTGGAACGGAAATTGGTGCAATCCAGTGGCTGTCGTACCGTGCGGGCCCAACGTACACTATTCTCTAGCTCATCAAGCACTAACGAGAGCGACTGTTCTCTTTCTGGAGAAAAATTGGCTGCATCATAATCAGCTTACGTCAAAGTTAAAACGAGTTTTCCACCTTAGCTACTGCAGTACATGATTCATACGAGTCATCAGACGCAGTAACTTGCGATAATTTCATATTCTCAGACACCAGCTTTTGTGTCGTGAGTTTACTGGTCCCGACTCGTATCCGTTTCTGTCATCGAATTTACCAGCATCGTCCACGTTGTGTATCACCCGACATGCCGTGAACGATTTCGACATCTGTAAGACGCCGAATATCCTGCAGCAGACGTATCATTTTCTAACACCGAGGATACCATTTTCTGAGGGTGCATTGCTCAGCCCCGAGGCGTCACAGGGTAGAGATTAGCCTCTTTTTTACAGACCCCTCGGTCGAGCACAACGTGCACGAACGACATCAATGAAAATAGTCAGGATCTTATGGTAGCTGACGAGCATATCCCTAAATGTAAAAATCTTACTACCTGCTCCAGCTCGTGTAAAAGTAGTGATCTAGGACCACGAGCCGGTCTCAGAGGTCCTAATGTAATCTTTCTCACAGATCAGTCGCGCTGCTTTCATACATCACTCCTTCATAATCCGTCTTTCTTCGTTAAGCACGAACTTGTCATTAACCGAAGAGGTTCAGACCATCACATGATTCCTGCGCTTCGATTTTGGTAGCTGCCTCACACATCATTTACATTTTCCGTTATTGAAATGTGGACATCACATAGATGACCGAATGGTAAATGAAACGGAGCCGATACTCGGCAAAGGCGAAGGCTTCGCACGGTGTCAAGTATGCTGCAACCGTGACGGCGAATTCTACCAGTAATTTCATGTCCGTATGGTAACGACAGCCCGTCGATATAGGATACTCTTCGATTCAATGACGCTTGTAGTCGGCTTCGACCGCGCCGTCATCTTGAGAACGTCATTTGGCTACATTTAGGAGCGATTTACGCACAGACTCCAGCACTTTATAAGGACACGTGTCTTAGTATCTGTGAAGTCGGTGTGTTGGTAGTGTCCTTCGTGTCAAGATTCTGAATCGTCTTCTGACGTGCCTCATAAAGCACGACCAAATTGGCTTCCCGGACTCAATGACAATCTCGATATTATGAAGTGGCGTACGGCAATGCTGCCCTTCATGTATTCGAAAGCAAGCCACACTCGGAGCATTGCGATGAGGCGACGACAACTTTGCAACGAGCGCCAAGAAGCCCTCGCAGGCAAACGCCTTAGCGCAGAAAACATTTGGGTAATTCAAAGACGTGCAGCCATTAGCAACACAAGCGTTTCTATGGCCCTTTAGTCTTTCTTGAAGCAAGGTGGCTTGCGCTGGAATGCGATGGGAAACATAGATCGCACTGTCGTCGTGACGTATTGTAAAGGAAGCACTTGCTTGTGACAATCATTGCAGCCTGGCGCACGGAAATGTATCCGAGGATTTGCTTGACAAGATACCGCTTTTTACGAAAGGACGAAAAGCTCTGGCTTTGACATGTCACACTGACGTGTCGGCGATGCTGACTCGATTACGAAGGGTGTAGGTATGTATTCTATTTTGTAGGTGCAGTGGGTACAGTCAGTATTTCGAGCGACCGACGTCTGCCCTCTTCGGCGGGGCCTGCACATTCCCAACCGGACGGCCACAACTTACAGGATTCTCTGGGGGCCAGCCAGTCCAGGGCCCCCGACTATTCGATGTCGGAGGTTTACGTTTCTACGAGAGGCTGAGCTCAGTGGTACTGAGGTTCCCAGGTGGTACAACTGAGACTTCTGTGTCACATGTGCAGGTATTTAGACTTCTAGCTACTTTGCATGCTCTCCTGAAAGACAAGGGTGAAGGAAGACGGATATCACGTTTGGACAGGCAAGCGAAAACGAGAATGATCACGAGACGGTACAAGCCCTATCGGCCTTGATCGCAGTGCCTACGCGTCGTATGCTCCTATAAAAACGGGCTTATAACTGCAGAAAGCTGTCAAGAAAGCGAAACGATTTTCAAAATGATCACTGAGCACGAAGTGAGGTTAATGTCATACGCAACGTGTACGAGTCAGGGACGTCAATGGACGAATTTGAGAACCATCAGGAGCTGGGGATTGACCAACATTAAAGTGCCGGCAACACTTGAACCAGAAAGTATGTTGTCGATTCGGCGTAGCTACGTAGGAGGATAAACAGATGTCGCAGCTGGATTAAACGTTCGACAACAAGATGGATCGCTGGCTTTCACCACCAAATAAGCGTTTTACGAGTGAATCCTCAATGTGACTGAGCTGCAATTATTCTGCGCTGTATGCAGTAGGAATGGACCGACTACCTACAGGGCCAGCCACGCGACGTAAAGCACGAATGTACCGGCACGGAAGTCAGGCTAAACACGATCATGAAGGCAGTTGAAGTGCGACCCAGCAGCAGCATGACGTGTTCGTCATGAACTCAAGGCTCAACTCGGCCATCTGCACGTATAGCAGATAGCGAAGCGTATGAGAGCCGAAGGAGGAGTACATTCACGTTAAAGCAAGCAAGAAGCAATCGCTCGCATAGCAACTCAAGTCAGCGGCCAGAGCGGAACATCAACGCCCCAGCGGCTAGACTAATGAGCAGTCAACTCACTGTCGGACAGAGCTTTGGTCGCTTCGCCTCATGGGCCGACCGTCCTGGACCGAGATCCAACACGGACCTTGACGCTCTGCAATCATGAAGCGACGTATCTTTCGCTCCAGCAGACAGGCGACAGGTGTTCTTTACTGCACATATTAGAATGTGACAGACTTCAGTATGGAACGTTTCGCATCAGGCGTCGCGCCCGAAATCGAATCATGCTTCAGTTGTACTAGTTTACCTACGAGTCGCGTGATGGTGATGCATGTGGAATGCGGATCGATGCTTTGCGTGTCACGATCTCCACTAATCGCCACTGTTCATTGGCAGATTTGCAACGCAGTCCAGAACGTGCCTATGCGACGCGCTTGCACCGTCCAAAACGGGACCAGAAAAGGCTAGAAAAAGTCAATTGAGAGCGAGCCAAGCGCGACGAAGAGTCGAGTGGCTTCCCACGCACGCACGACCTTGGAGCTCTGTAGTCTGCATCAGCCACTTTGGTCACCGCATTATCGAAAACGCTTGGTCGCCCCACCGAAGCGCTGCAGACTATCCAAGATGGAAGGCTCAGAGAGCGTGCAGACGCTCATTGATCGGTTCGAGCGAATGGCTCGTGCTCATGTTTCACCTCCAGCTTCGAACTCTCGCTTCGTATCGAAGCGGAAGACGAGGGCGATGTTGGAGTCCAGTGATTTGCCCGTGAAGAATATCATTCATTGCATGAACAGGCAGCGCTTGTGTGGTCTGCCCACGCCCGTGCACATGGTTGCGGAGCAAGAGAAGGAGACTGTAGAGGTTCGAGAGAAGGTACTGGATGAAGAGGAGAGTGCCAAGTCTAAAGAAGAGCTGCTGAAGGAAGGGGGGACGGAACTTACGGGCGAGGAGTTACTGGATGTGAAGGACGCTGCAGAGGAGCTATGGGGGGAGGAGGAGACTCCTGAACCTGAAGAGGAAGTGCTGGATGGGGACGAGCAAGAGGCTGCACGTGCTGATCCATACGGGTCGGTTGCATGCAAAGATCGTGCTGCTGATACGCTACATCCAGATGACACCACTACTCACAGTTCTTACGATACGATCAAGTCCGCTTTCTACGATATAGCGCCATGCAGCCCGTCGGCTTCTTCAACCGCCTCTACAGGCTCTCTGGACTCGTTTTTCAACTCATTCGATAGCTGTTTGCCCGAGCAACTGCAGACAGCAGGTGAGACCAGCGCAGAAGGCTTTAGGGCTGTCAGACCTGCCGCCATTGACTGCTCAAGACGTTCTACTTTCTACGAAGATCGACGACCAGTGATGACCTCCAAGCTGACCCCGCCAATCCAATACCGGCGTCGTATGCTCACTCGGATGCCGTCATCCACGAACACTACGGTTCTTGCCTACAAGTCAGAGTCACCGCGCCCATTTCTTAAATCGGAGCGGGGCGTCACGGCATCATCGCCATCGACCAGGACTCCCTCAACTTCATCGTCTACCCCTCGATACATGGACTACGACAGTGCGCCGCGCTTTGTTGCCACCAAGGCTTGGAACATGGAGCGTCGTCGGCAGCTGGAAGAGCGCCACCGCATTCAAGCCACCAAAAACGCTAGGCCTCCTAAAAGCAGCAAACAATCATCTCCGACAATACGCGTCAATGGTACAGGCCCGCCTGAAGCAGGTTCGACCACGACTACCTGTGAAAGTGATGGAATCATCCAGACCAAGTTCGGTCGTACCTGCTCGATGCCAGGGATATCAAGCAGCACGCAGAGAACCCGGCAATTGCGGCGATGCCAAAGCAGGAAATCCCCATGTCCATCCGCGCCTTAACTTTCGACTCTAGCTACCATTAATTATCAGATTTGTGTGCTTATCTTACAACCACGAGACTTGAGCTTTTCGATCGGTGCTTTTCACTGGTTCTTGTGGTCAAAACTATGCATGAAATCACCACCACCACCAATATCAACATGTCAGTCTCTCTAGACTGCTTCCTGCCAATCAGTTACAGCGTGGCAGCTAGATCTTACATCAATCTGCATGCTAGATACGACGAAAACGCTAACGCCACTGCTACGAAGGACAAGAACCTCGAGGCCTCGAGTCCAAGTGACGTTGATTCCGAGTCTAAGGGTATTGATGTCGTACAAGTGCCACGTCTGCGACTGCGTGAACTCAACTGGAAGAATCGTGACCAGTTCTTAGCGATGATGGAGCGTCACTCGTTTGTTGTCCTCACTGACATAGGCAGATCGCTGGAACAAACCCATGACCAAGTGCTTGAGGAATTCGAGACGTTCTTTACAAGCGCCGACGAGAACTGGAAGAACAGGTGTACAAGCAAACACATTTACCGCAACGAGCACGGCAAGCCATTCTGGTATGCTGGATACGAGCACACAAGTGTACGCGACTGTTTTCGCGTGGCTTGTAGGGACATGTCGCGGCTGGTGTGGCCGTCGTCTGAGTTTCAAACGCATTGGCTGGCTTTGCAGCGCCACATGCAGCGCATTTGCGATCGTGCGTTAAGTTTAACGGTTGGCTACGATGTTGAGCCTAGCCATGCACGCTCGGATAAGGATTTCTCCGTCTGCTACGGACTGCACTACCCGAATAGTGAGGGGAGTGGTCAATCTGAAACGGAGAACGTTTTCGAGCATGTGGATCCAAGTCTGTACGTGGTCGAACCTGTGTCTCGAGTCGAGGGGTTGGATGTGTATGACCAATCTTCCCAGCAGTGGCTAATGGTTGAAAAAGTGTGCGTTCCTGGAAAAGAGATTGTACTCTTCTGTGGTCATGCCCTGAATCGTGCCACGCGAGGTCGCATACCTGGAACGCTGCACCGCGTTCATCGCAACCCGGACCGACGATTTTGTATTGTGTACGAGCAGAAGTATGAGGAGTACTTCCTTTGATGAAGCACAAGAGAAGATATCCCGCTATAGCTACATTCAGAAGAATCGACATCGGAAACAACATGTATCAAAAGTCTGCTGAGGTAGGAGGAATTTGTGCCATATTCATCAGCAAGCATGCGATACAACTTCTTCTGATCGGCATTTGTTGGCACCGTAAATGATCGAAAATGATTGGAGTAGCTGTACGTGTCGCTTGTCCACGTGCTGCGCAATGTGAAGAATTAGCGAAGGCGTTGCATGGTTAGCAGCGTGAGCCTCAAACGGTATGATTCCATGTCTTTGATAGCTTCAACACAAGCGACATCGGTGGCACCAAAGGAGTAATGCATTTGCCAATTTATTGCTGAATGCAACAAGCGACAAGATGACATGAAAAGAAATCCTTCGGCCTCCTTGTATTATTCACTTTTGGTCTCTTTAGGAATGGGGTTTATTACCATTCACCTGGCGATACGTCATCGCGTTGCAATTGACAAAGTGGAGTGCTACGCCATTGACACCAACACTAAGTCCACAGACATTTGATCTAGCCGATCACAGTTAAGAAGGGATTTGAAATGTTCGCACTCGTTTTCCTTATAATTCGTGCTCTTTACTGTCAAACTCGATATTCATAACATAATCACTAAATTCTTTGCTGATTATAATTTATTAATAAAAATTGTGTTTTTTCACAGAGCCATTTACATTCCCGCCCTGTTTTTCCTAGCCCTGAGTAAACGTTAAACAAAATCCACATGAATGGGACAATTTTTATTACTTCAATACGGACCCACGTGGGGTAAGTAAAAAAACTCCTCTGATATGCACAAATAGTGGTTTCGAGTAGTGGTCCGCGATCCCGCAGACCGCCCGGACGCAAAAATCACTGTGTTTTAGAGGTAATCGTCAAGCGTCACGATTCATCGTTAATGCTCGAGTTAAGCGCAGTGTGGCAAGCAATTGCTGTAACGGGGTGAATCGTTACATAACAATTTATAAGGAATTGTTAATAGAATATAACTATAAGAGTTATATTCTCAGAATATTGTCATAAGGACAAATATTCTGTAGCACTTACAAGTAGTTCCTAATTGGTTGATATAGGCCATTATATCAACCAACGAAGACGCGCCACGACAGACGCACGCAATGAGTGGTGAGCAGATAATTGATTTACACATTTGTATTTAGACATAGTTAGATGAAGATAAATAGTGATTTATTGCAGACATTAACTATTATAAATACAGTTCTACTTTTTACTCTAACCAAGTACTCGCTTCTTCTTACCGTCTTCCTCTGCACGTACGAGTGTACGTGAAGTTACGAGGCACCGCCTTATTCTGTTATCAGAATAAGTGGCTTGTACTGTCACCAGTACAAGCTTCAGGGTGCCCCGTTACACCTGGTAGCACTTCGTAGTCCGTCCAAGGACCGCGTTCACATCCAACATGAATATGTTGGATGATGAAGATGACCAAAGCTTTCACGCTACGCGTGACGGCTACTCCCATTTGAGCGATGTCGAATGGGATGCGGTTGAACGAATGGGTTCGACCATGGGCATCCATGCTGTTAGCGTCATGCTAGAGGCTCTCAATAGAGACGCCCAACATGCTACTATCGCCAAGTTCATCCAAAATGAACTTGACGCTGAACGCGAGAAAGTAGCCTTGCTTCACCAACAAGGTTCTCAACAAGCAGAGTTGTTGAGAGAACAAGGTGCTCAACAGTTTGAACTGTTGAGACAGCAGCAGGCTGCTGCTGGCGGGTCGATGCACTCGCGTCGGCCCGAGACTTTGAAGATTGACATCTCAAAGTATAGAGGGGTCGAAGAAGACTCCCTCTTGAGATGGTTCGTCGAATTGGATGACGCCATAAGGGCGCGTCGCATCGACGACGGGGATATGCAAGTTGCATTTGCCCAATCAAATCTGGCAGGACGTGCCAAGACTTGGGCACTGGGGCTCAAGCTGCACGACCCATATGCGTTTGGGTCGTTGGAAGTCTTCAAGTCGCGGCTCAGACAAACGTTTGAACCGCCTAGAGCTGAGTTCAGGGCTCGAACCGAACTCTTGAAGCTCAAACAGGGTAAGCGTGATGTGCACGCTTACGCTCAACATATACGACATCTTACGAGTTGTATAAGTTCCAATCCGGTGGATGAACACACGTTGGTTTCGGTGTTCATGCAGGGTCTTGCGGATGGTCCCGTCAAGACTCACCTGTTCCGGCTTGAACTAGATTCACTAGAACAAGCCATTTCCATTGCGGAGCAGGAAGACTTCAGTCTGAGACAGGCTCGCGCCAGCTCGACATCATATCGTCAACCGAGACGATATGACAACGGAGGTCCAGAGCCGATGGAACTCTGTTATGTAGAGAGCGAGAAGGTTCGCTCTACAGGCTACAAGAAGTTGCAGAGATGCAACAGATGTCAAAAGACAGGACACTACGCTTACGAGTGTAGTGCCCCTCGTCCAGTGTCTCGCGACACTGGGCGTAGTGACCGTCCACCCATGAGAAAGGGGCAGGGACGAGGGTCCGCAGTTGGTGCAAAGACGCAACAACGGGATGGACCGTCAAAAAACGGACAGGATCAGTAGGTGCGGAGCACCCTACTGATCCAGCAACGTCAAGAGAATTTGTAGGCCTCTTGATGAAGGTCGCTCCCAACACACAGACGTTGTGCGTTGCTGCTCTAGGTAATGAGATCTCACTCATTACCTTGAAACTCGAAGTGACGAATAAGTTGTCCCTTCGAGCTCTAGTCGATTGTGGGGCGTCTAACAATTTTGTGCGACGCCAATCGCTAGAAGATGGTCACTTTAAATTCAGTGAATGTGACACACCTCCCACGAGGATGACGGTACGTCTTGCGACAGGCGCATCCGTAACCGTCATGAAGCGTATAGTGAAGATTCGCTATACGCTAGAAGATACCCAATATGACGATGACTTTATCGTATTGGATTTGGATGACAAATTTGATGTCATCCTTGGAATACCGTGGCTCAGAAGGTACGAACCACGGGTAAACTGGCAACATCGGACAGTAACGATGCCTGCCGCTTGTTCATCAGATGGCCATCTGATGAACGTTTTGGAGCGTCCACAAGCGTGTGGATGTACTACGAGTGAGTGCGATGGCCTCACTTGTGGTACGGTCGTTAGTACGACTGCACAAAACCTTAGTGTACCAAACGGTTACACTTCGGAGCAAAGTTCCGGCGGCTGTGAGGAAACACAGGCTGCGCCGAAGGTCCACCACTCGAATAAGTCGGGTGGACTGGGACAAAGATGTATCCCTAGAGGGGAACATCTAGAAGAGAAACAATCGATCGCTCAGGTTAAGCGAAACGATAATCCTAGATCGACTGGAGAGTCTTTCGTAGAGGATCTCGCTGTGGTTGCGCAACCCCAGCTAGAGGAAATAAAGGGAATAAGTCCCAAGATTACAAATACGGCGGAAATAAGTTCCCCGAAACCCGCGGGAATAAGTCCCCGGGAAGACGAAGGAATAAGTCCTTCGAAGCCTGAGGGAATAAGTCCCCAGGAAATGACAGAGACATTGAATGTCATAGTCAATAACGGATCATGTGTAGGCGCTTATACACTTGATCTGATTGCGCCTCCGAAGTTAACTTCGGAGATCACTCAGTTGCCAACGCTCGAACATAAAAGGTTCTTGCGTGATCTGCGTAGTGGCAAAGTCAAGCAGATCTGCATACTCGTCGCTGACGACGAGTGTGTAACCGACATAAGGTCAGCAACAGTGTTTACTGAGAACGAGAGAGTTCTCAGTAGTTCATCTATGGACGAGAGTGTCCTAGATGAAAAGACACGAATTGAGCGATATGAGTCCCAATCATGGGAATCGCTCAAGGAAAATCCTCTCTATGAAGATTTGGTTGAATTCAAGGATGTATTCCCTGAAACTGTTCCGTGCGAATTACCGAAGGATAAAGGTATTCGACACGAAGTCGAGCTTAAACCAGGCTCGAAGTACTGTGTCATGAAGCAGTGGCCACTGCCTCGTGAACAAGTACTTGCGATCGACAAGTTCTTTGCCGATCGTTTAGCAGCGGGCCATGTGAGGGAATCAACTTCCCCACATAGCTCTCCGACCTTCTGTGTGCGAAAAGCAACAGGAGGGTGGCGGATAGTGCACGCGTTTAACAAATTGAACGCTGCAACGGTACCGGCTCAGACGCCGATACCGAGGAAGGACGTAATCATTGATGGTATGTCAAAGAGTACCATCTTTTCGTCCATGGATTTGATGGATGGCTTCTATCAAATCCTTATGCGGGAACGGGATATACCCTATACCGCAGTTAGCACGCCTAGCGGCATGCTCTGGGAATGGCTAGTAATGCCACAAGGGCTCAGTAATGCCCCTGCCACGTTCAACAGATGTGTATCACATCTGTTGAGACCAGTACGAGAGTTCGCGCCGAGTTATTTCGATGACGTATTCATCCATAGTCGAGCTATGGATGGAAAGTCGGACGTTGAGGTTCACAGGTACCACGTCCGACAAGTTCTTACAATCATGCGAAAGCATCAATTGTATGCAAACCTCAAGAAGTGTATATTTGCAGCAAGCGAAATACCACTTCTTGGGTGCATCGTTGGTAAGAACGGTGTACGTCCTGATCCCGAAAAGATCAAGGCGATCACCGACTGGCCTGTGCCGGTCGATGTCAAAGGTCTTCGAAAATTCCTTGGGCTAGCGGCGTATTTGCATAAGTATTCACGCAATTACGCCGAGATGACTGTACACCTCTCTCGTTTGTTGAAAAAGAACGAGAGGTGGTTATGGAACGCTGAATGTCAACGCTCCTTTGAGGGTATCAAGCAGAGCTTGATACAATCCCCAGTCCTAGCAATAGCCGATCAGGACAGGCCATTTCATGTGGTCTGTGATGCCAGCGATTTCGCAATCGGCTGTGCACTAATGCAGTACGATCTTGAAGGCGTTGAACGCGTCGTCTGCTATCAGTCGCGTCAGCTGCAACCAGCTGAGCGGAACTATCCAGTGCATGACAAGGAACTCCTTGCCATGAAGTATGCACTCGCGAAGTTCAGAGTCTATCTATTAGGAGATAGACCCTTCGTTGTTTACACTGACCATGCGTCCTTACGCACGGCAGTGAACAGCCCGCACCTTTCACAACGAATGGCGCGGTGGTTGTCATTCTTTGCAGAATACAACTTTACGGTCGAGTACAAACCAGGGCGACTTAATGTCGTCGCTGATGCACTCTCACGTCGTCCCGACTTCGAAACAGTCGCGAAACCCAACAGTGAGACAGTCACTGTTGCGGTTATGACGTCCTCAGTTCCATCTACAATGTTGTATGATGATGTGAGGCGGGCATACGCCCAAGATGGTGAGATAGTGAAGTTGTTGACACATCTCTCCCAACCATCCCGAGAATCGTTGAAACGATTGTCGCCTGCGTATCGATCTGCATCAGATCGATACACTACTCGTAACGGTTTACTGTATTATACAGTCGTTTCTGGTGACACACCACGTGTTGTCATCCCAGATGATACTGATCTGCGTTTGCGGATCATGTTCGAGTATCACGATGCTCCTATAGGAGGACATCGTGGCCGAGAGAAAACATATCTCACGGTAAGTCGAGACTTTTACTGGCCCCGCCAGTATCAGTTTGTGCGAAAGTATGTTCGCGCATGCGAAGTCTGCCAACGAGTGAAGTCAAGTCCTTCACTGCGTGCACCTTTACAGCCTCTACCGGTTCCGGCTGAGTGCTGGGAATCCATCTCAATGGATTTCGTCTTCGGGTTACCCAAAGACGCACGCGGGAATACGGGTATTCTCGTATTTGTTGACAGATTCAGCAAAATGGTACACCTTGTGGCTGTACCAGAGACAATCACGGCAAGTGGCTGTGCTTGTGTCTTTATTGACACCATCTTCCGACTTCATGGGTTGCCCCGTGAACTCGTATCAGACAGAGATCCACGATCCACTGCTGATTTCTGGCGGTCCGTGTTCAAATCACTCGGAACGCGCTTGAAGATGTCAACATCTGATCATCCAGAGTCAGATGGTCAGACGGAACGTGCCAATCGTGTCCTTGAAGAGATACTTCGAGGATACGTACACTCCTTTAAGAGTTGGAGTGAGTTCTTGCCAATGGTAGAGTTTGCCATCAACAACTCGGTGCATGCGTCCACGACACATACACCGTTTTACGTGAATGGCTTGCGCCATCCGCGTGTACCCACCTTACTAGAGTGTAACTCTGGTTTAAGGGGGGGAGGGACTCGCGCGAGCAAAAACCGATTTGGTTCACGCTCATCACGCTCTGACGAAGAAGTCATTGCGTTTGATGCCGATATCGATAACATCGATATCGAAGAAGATGATGCCAGTGAGAGTGCGGAAGCCCTCACTGAAGAAAAGGTTGTTGTTGCTGCAGTGCGCTCACAGCGCACTGAAGCTAACGAGTCATCAGATGAGTTCATACTGGCTCGTGAAACGGTAGTCCGTTTTGTGCAAGACTCCATCGCCGAAGCGGTGGATAAGCAAAAGCAAAACGCTGACAAGAATGGAAGGGCAAACACTCTTTTATTTAATAAATCTGACTTAGTCCTACTGTCTACGGTTAATCTACCAAAGCATGTAGTGACTAACTTGGGTAGCAGTAAACTACTACCCAAGTACATTGGCCCATTTCGTGTATTGCACCGCCTAGGCAATGCATACACGATCGAGTTACCACGTAAGATGCGAACGCATCCCACGTTTTACGTTGGTCGGCTTAAGCCGTACCATCAGTACGCTGCTTCTTCCGATGAAGAACGCCCTTGCGCTCAAGCATCTCGCAGAGAGCCTTGTGCTCCCGATGGTGGGCATCAACAAGGGTCTGAAGAGCAGTTATCTCATCCCGAGACCGATCAACAATCCCACGAGCTACCCTTAGCTCGTCACGAAGAGATGTCAGAGATCTCTCGTTCTCAAGCTGAGCAAAGGCAAACTCAGCTCGATGCTTCGAGGCAGTGTCCGCCATTTGGAGACGCCTATTCCGCTCATCCTCGAGATCGTCGCGTAACCCTTGCGTTACGCGATCAAAGAAGCTCTCGGGAACACACCGATCCACATGATCGTGTGGAGAGCGTCTTTCCTCCTCCTCCACCTCCATTAGAGGACTCTCGCGGTGGCCAGCGCTATCTAGTTGAGCAGCTGTTGAACCACCGCGACGTGAACGGACGTCGGACGAGTTACCTCGTCCGGTGGCGCGGCTATCCCCCGTCCTGGGATTCTTGGGAGCCCCGCTCCCAATTGATGGTTGACGTACTGGGTCTGGTCGAGCAGTACGATGCGGCACATCCTGTGCCGCAGAAGGACCGCCGGAGAAAGTCTTCCCGGCACGGTCGTAAAGAGATTTCAGGTTGTCAATCCCTTCGTACATCTCAGTAGAGACACGTACGCGCCACCACGGGCTGGTAAGGAGGTAAGCCTCCTTAGGTGCTCGTGCAGAGTTGTTCACACAACATGGGCACGAGTCTCCCCAAGAGAGGCAGGGTAATCCTTTCTCCCTTGACAGACGATGCAGCTTGTAGCGTGCACCTGTCGGGGTTCGCTTTTCAAACTTATCACGAGCTTTGATAAGTTTGTCGTTCCAAGCGTCACGACCTACATCCTCGAGGTTATGGATGTAGGCGTTCCACGCCTGAAGTAGTGAGGGACCATCACGTTTGTGATTCCCACTGTACCATCGATGTCTGAAGAAAGCATCGATGAAGAACTCATGTTCAGCGCGATAGTCTTTCGCGCTGGGGTCAAGGTGATGGATCCTTGACGAATCGAACAATCGTGTTCGATAACGATCACTCGTCGTCGCCGACAAGTGATCCATGACTGATTTTGGAGGCATCCATGCCTTCTTTTCTGGAGCGAGACGCAACACATTGCGGTCCCGCTCTTCCTGCGACGTGCCGACAGAAGTACTGGCACCTTGTTGCGAAGTGGTGTCCATTGGAGAACCGACACCACTATTAGCGCCCGAGTCTCGCGACCTCGAGCGCCTTCGCTTCGGCGATGGTTCATCTGATTCATCAGATGAACCGAAGATGCTGCGACGCAAAGCATCGTCCATGCCACGCTTGGCAGGCGGCTTAGATTCAATCGCCGTCGATACGGATCCGTCATCCGTATCAGGAGAGTACGAGACACCGAGCTCGTACTCTGTGAAGACACGAGTGTCTTCATGACCAGCGCCTGCGTCACCAAGTGACACAGGCTGGGTCTCTTCAGCAACCGATGGGACATCAGTTGCTGTTGTTTCTGCTTCGGCGTCCGCACAGAGACGTGCAGACGCGCTCTCGGCGGCCTTGCTCGCGCATCGCATGGGCTTGTTTACCATGCGATGAATTGTTGGAAAGTGGACGCGGACCAACAAGTGCAAACCCTGTCCCAAATGATTTGGGACGAGTATCCATTTAGTCAATCAGTCACTAAAGTGACTGATGGTTAAGGGGGGGGTGATGTAACGGGGTGAATCGTTACATGACAATTTATAAGAAATTGTTAATAGAATATAACTATAAGAGTTATATTCTCAGAATATTGTCATAAGGACAAATATTCTGTAGCACTTACAAGCAGTTCCTAATTGGTTGATATAGGCCATTATATCAACCAACGAAGACGCGCCACGACAGACGCACGCAATGAGTGGTGAGCAGATAATTGATTTACACATTTGTATTTAGACATAGTTAGATGAAGATAAATAGTGATTTATTGCAGACATTAACTATTATAAATACAGTTCTACTTTTTACTCTAACCAAGTACTCGCTTCTTCTTACCGTCTTCCTCTGCACGTACGAGTGTACGTGAAGTTACGAGGCACCGCCTTATTCTGTTATCAGAATAAGTAGCTTGTACTGTCACCAGTACAAGCTTCAGGGTGCCCCGTTACAATTGCGGTGAAGAAGCACCGTCGAGGTTAGGATATAATGTCGTGGCTGTATTTTTGTTGTTACGTAGAATACGAATGTATTGAAGTATAGCGACTTTTTGCTGCTTAAGGGATGTGAGTCGTGGTTTATGGCTGCGAATGGGTTTGGCTTCTGCATTACAACAGGTGGCTGTGGTGTTCGCAGCAGACAAGGTGTAGCGGAGCTACACAGCTCCTTAAGTCAGAGGAAGACTTAACGCTCTACGAGCAACTTAGCTCCAAAGAACTAACGACTTTACGAGTCAACAAGCTTTACAGCCTCAGATCCCTGTTCCAGGGGACCTAACGATTCAGTGAATCGACAGCACTCAGTGCTCAAGAGTAGCCATCTCAAGGAGGTGTTGCCAACTCTTTGTGATCAGTGATCAACGATCAAGACGGCTCGCAAGACACGGGTCCTTTAGATCAAAACGGGAACTGATTTTATTTTTGTTAACGCTTATAGAATATCTTAATCCTACTCAAAGATCTTTCGTACCTGATGGCTGACACTCGTCAGCCCCTACAAACCAATACGATATTCTATATCACCTTCACAAAGGGGTAACCTCAGGTGTGTAACACCTCTGGTACAAAGTACCATAATTTCGTGCAACCCCGTTACACCCTCCCCACCAGACTGACGCTTGCCAAAATGTCAATCGAACTTGTGTTCTCAGCGAGAACAGTGCGCGTGCGGTGAATCTCACGGGAATGTACGCTCTAGCACGATGTCCTCACCACCAAACGCGTCAAAGGCTCTGTGTAATTACCTCGGAATAGAGGAGGAGGTGGACTATGGTAGCGATACCAGTGTCCGCGATGATACAGGGACAATGTCCGGCTCACTGATGCCTGAGGCACGACCTTCGAACACCCCAAATCCGTTCGCTGAACGTGGAGATGCGAGCGCGCCACCAGCGCAGCACGCAGCATCTGGGTCTGATGAGACTATCATCACGAACCCGCTCGATGAGCAACAACAATTGCTTGTCCAAAAAAAAGAAACGCTCAGCGTTATGTACAAATGGCTGCAACCCTTGAACGCCAGCGTGACTATGTGTTCACTCCACCCAGTGTGGAGGAACGTCTACGTCAAGCGGCCGGCCAAACATTGGCAACGTGGGTCATTGGCCATGGGCCTAAGACTCCTGAGGAGGTGGTGAGCTGCCAGGTACTTTGTGAGAGGTACCTGGAGCCGCACCTAACGACTCAAAGTCAATACAAGGCACGCCTTGACATGCAAGCACGTGGTACACTGGTTCCACCAATCAAGGGTATACCCATTCTCTTGCTCGCAGGCGAAACAGTGAGCGAAGAAGACGATGCCTTCGTTCACTGGGTGCACTATGTGCGTCGCCTCAGCAATATTTTTGCTCTAAGGGCTAGTGCCCATGCGGCTGATGTGCGTCTCGAACGCAAGCTTCGGTATGATTGTGCCAAGCTTAAGGCCAGAGGCCAATTGCGCAAGCGCACGCGCTATGCTTCGGCTACTAAGGTAGCCGCGAGTGCTGGTCAGTCTGTGGCCAACAACCCGCCAACCTGCACCACTAGTGGTGGGGAACGGCCTCGGTCTCGAGATGACCATGGCCACGATGCTCAAAAGCCTTTAAAGCATATGGGCAGTCTTGCCGAAGAGGGACCTCAAATTCCCATGAGTTTTCAGACTCAGGGTACCCACGCCACTTTACCAGATTCTGGTATTGGACCTGACGACGAAGTCATTTTAGTAGTCTCTCGACATGAAATTGACGACACCCATGCTCATCGAGCAAAGTCGGTGGCGGCCGGTGTACCGGTGGAGGCCCACGAGAAATTGGTTCTCGAATTGAAGGCTCTTTAAGAGGCCTTGGGTAAGTCCCAGTGCATGCTGGATGCGATGCAAAGCCGCCTTCAGGCGATGGAGCAAGCTCAAACTCGGAGCGAGGCTCAGTTGGACTTGCTGATTCGCCTACAGCAATCCGGGGCAGTGCCCTTGTCGTCGGCGCAAGCGCCTCCAAGTTCACATGGGAAGGATCCCGGTACGCCTTAAGTAAGCCTGCGTAGAACACTGGATGTGTGCGCAATTTGCGCGGGAGGTTTAGCGTATACGCAAGTCCCTTCTTAGCCGCGACCGTAAACCGTCCGATAAAGCGTGGACGCAACTTCGTCTTAAAGACAGCAGACACTACAGTTGTAGGTAGGTTTTTAGCATTGAGTAGTACTTGGTCTCCGACCTCATAACGTTCAATACAATTTCTGCCTTTGGCATCAGCTTGTTGTTTTTGGGTATCTTGGCTATCAGCCATTGCGTCACGCACAAGTCGTAAGACATTTAATCGCGTTGCGAGAAACTCGCCTACCTGTTTTTGAACAGTAGCAGGGCTGATCTCAGCAATCCGATCGGCAACCTCTCCCTCACCAAGCCTTGATACACGTAGTGATAGCGTTAACGGAACGCGAGGGTGAGTGAGACCGTTTATATAGAACGGAGTAAAGCCTGTTGAGGCATGCACAGCGTTATTCAACGCAAAATCAACAACAGGGAGCATTGATCTCCAATGCCTAGGCGTATCAGCACAAACACTGCGCAAAATGTCATTGATGACGCGGTTAACACGCTCAGTTTGACCGTCGGTATGCGGATGATCCGCTGTGGACATGTCCAACCGAGTGCCAAGCACCTTGAAGATAGACTTCTAAAATTTCCCAGTGAAGCGGGGGTCTCCATCAGAGATAATTGCCACCGGCAAGCCATGTTGGCAAGACACACGGTCGGTAAACAGCTTTGCTGTACCTTCAGCATCGATGCTATCCGGCACAGCCGCTAAGTGAGCCATCTTGCTTAATCGGTCAACAAAGACCACAATACCAGTGTTGCCTTCCGAATCTTTCGGTAGGCCTAACACAAAATCCATGCTCATGGACTCCCAACAACCAGTAGGTACTGGCAAACTAGCCAGCGGCGCCGCCACATGTGCCGAGGGTTTAACCCGTTGACACGTTTCGCACGTACGCACATAGGTGCTCACCCACTTATAAAGTTTGGGCCACCACGACTTTGGCTCACCGAGCTATAAGTCCTTTCACGACCGAAATGACCACTTAAAGCAGAATCATGTGCCTCATAGAGGATTCAATACTTTAATTCCTCATCGTGAGGTACAACGATACGAGGGTTATCATCAATATCCGTGCGATAGCACAACAGGCCATTATCGATGGAATATCGATGTAGCCTCGCGCGTAAACGTGCCGACAATTCTATGTCCGAGTCTTTAAACTCATCGCTCCCAAGAGCACGTAGCAAAGCTACACACTGATCGTCCTTGGCATATGCCGCACGAATTAAGTCAGGGGCTGACGACGACAGAGTCGTAACATGAGCAAGCTCATATTCAGGTCGACGCGATAGCGCATCAGCCAAAGCATTTTGCTTACCTGGCTTTTACTTCACCTCGAAGTTATATTCGGCAAAGAAGGAAAGCCAACGAGCCATTCTCTGTGAGAGATGAGGCGACTGTGTTGCAGTGCGTAATGACGCATGATCTGTATAGGTCACAAACGACTTGGAGCCAAGCAGATATACTCTAAATTTGACAAGAGCATAATTTATAGCAAGTAGCTCTTTGTCATGAACAGGATAGTTCTTTTCAGCAGCTTTCAGTTGCCGAGACTCGAATGCGATGACGCGTTCGCGTCCGTCGACATCTGTTTGTAACAGAGCACTGCCTATGGCAAAGTCAGATGCGTCACAGACGACACTGAAAGGCCGACCAGAATCGGGCAAAGCCAATATTGGCGCATGAAGGAGACTTGTCTTAACTGCTTCAAACGCATCATGTACGGTGTTACCCCAACACCAATCCACATCATTTACTAGGAGATTGGACAATGGCCGAGCCATATCTGCGTGATTCGCACTGTACTTGTGTAAGTAATTGGCAAGGCCAAGCCACTTACGCAAGTCCTTTTGGTTCTTGGGAACCGGCCAGTCGACTATGGATTTCACCTCAGCGGGATCCGCTCGAAGCCTTGCTTCCCAATGAAGCACCCTAGAAAGGGAATCTCTTCTGCACCAAAGATGCACTTCGACTCGTTAGCATACAACTTATTCGTTCGCATGCACTCGAGCACAGCTCGTAAATGATCAACGTGGTTATCCACATCTGATCGCCCATTCATTACACGACTATTGACAAATATGTCATCGAAGTACGTTTGTGCATAGCCTCGATGAGGTCTGAACAGTTGCGTTACCAGCCGGTTAAACGTAGCCGGGGCGTTAGGTAGCCCTTGTGGCATAACAAGCCACTCCCAGAGCATACCGCTCGGAGTACTCACCGCTGTTAGCGGAATATTACTTGCTCGCATAAGCAGTTGGTGATAACCATCGACTAAGTCGAGTTCACTGTACAATGTACATCCTACCATTTTGTTTTGAAGCACATCCATTCTAGGAATAGGCGTCTGCGCCGTTATAGTGGCTGCATTAAGCTTATTATAAGCATGCACAATACGCCACTTGCCATTTGGCTTTTTGACACAAAATGTCGGTGTTGAATGAGGAGATTTACTCTCACGAACCATTCCAGCCGCGTGCTTAGCACGAAAGAAGTCGTCAATGACGTCACACTGTTCTTTAGGCAAAGTACACTGCCGTGTTACACAGTATTCAGTTCCAGGAACTAGGTCAATCTCATGACGTACACCTCTATCGGGAGGCAAGGCAGAAGGTGGGTTGTGACATACCACATCTTAAATATCCTTAACTAAAGGATATAACGGATCCAAAGGATCTTTAAGGATGGAGGATCCGCTTCGTGCACTAATTGCCGCCTTTGTATCCTCCAGGACAGACTCATCCATTAACGAGGAAGAATTCAACTCAGTATCAGGTCTAATGACCGCTAACTCGGATAACTCTCCTGTCTTCAAGGCCTGGCTAAACTCGCCATCAGACATTTCGTCTAGCTCACAAAGAGCGTCCACAGATGGAAGGGTTTCAAGGCAAACACTGCCATCAACCTGACCAGTCACTCCATTAACAAGTGTATATAGTGTATTACTGTTATCACAATGTGACTGTGAGGACGCCTGGCGCATAAAAAATGCTACCCGGCGTCTCGATCGTCTCTTCGAGACCTTACACCCCTTAGGGGTCGGGACAACATTGTCCCCATGGTTACTATTAACCACAGTACGCTCTGTACGAGAGCTTTTGTCTTGACCGACATCCGGTGAAGTGTTACGCAACTCGAGCACTTCACCCAGTGGATTGAAACGTGCCACTCCACGTGTATTATGCGGGCCTAGCCCCAAATTTAACGGCGTCTCGCCAATAAAGTCATTACCGACATTAGGTGTGTTGCCCTCAGGGCCGTCCTTACTGTATGACGTATCGCCAACAATGCCATTACTGGCGTTAAGCGTGGTGCCCTCACGGCCGTCCACACTATACGGAGTATCGACAACAATATCATTACTGACATTTGGTGTGGTGCCCTCACGGCCGCCCACACCATATGGCGAATCGCCAACAACGCCATTACCGGCGTTAAGCGTGGTGCCCTCACGGCCGTCCACTCTATACGGCGTATCGCCAACAATATCATTACTGACATTAGGTGTGGTGCCGTCACGGCCGCCCACACAATATGGCGAATCGCCAACAACGCCATTACCGGCGTTAAGCGTGGTGCCCTCACGGCCGTCCACTCTAAATGGCATATGGCCAAAAATGTCATTACCGACGTTCAGTGCGGTGCTCTCACGGCCGACCGCACTCGGTGTAGTTTCACGTGTCACCATACACACATCAAAGGAATCACATCCTTGATCACTAGGCCCTAGGCCAACCATGCTTTCAGCATGCAGTGACTCGTTATCACAACGAGCAACACTTAACGGAGTACGTGCCGTTTCACTAGTTTCAGACGAGCTAGGCTCGGAACTTATGTTTGTAACATTGGAGTTAGATAACTCAGACATTCCAATATCTAGCACATTGACATCTTCTGTCAAAGGCTCGCGCCAATAGCGCTTCTGTTGCCTAGCGAAGGTGGGTTCATGACTCTCCAAAGCTTCGCTAGGAACATTGCGCGTAGCGCCTAAGGTCTTAGAACTCCAATCAATCCAGGGCCCATGGCGTTCAAGCCAAGCCATACCTAGGATGAGATCATATCTCGAGTCCAAATTCAGGACAAGACAGCGCTCAATACTGTCAAAGTCTAAAACTTTTATACCTAAGTTATATGGAGCTTTAGGCACAGTTACGCGACTTCCGGTCGGTAAACGAACCGTGATAGAATCACCCTCATGCGCTGTAAGCGCCTCAGCACAACGCTGACTTCCCTCAAGGGAACGGCGTCGAGCATAATTGCAAGACGCTCCAGCATCGATCAATATCGACCAAGGCTTCTCAAAGCCCTTTATTTTTGCCTCGGCGGCCAACAAGCCAGACTTGTATCCACGCACCATACCTGTAGGTATGGTACTACTTGGGGCTAAGCCCTGCATTCCTTTACCTTCTAAAGGTGTAACAGAACACAGTTCTTCCCCAGTAGGGCGCCCCGCGCCTACTGGGTGTCAGCATTTTCCCGTGCCATGCCAGACTTCTGAATCGGGGTCGAGTGTTGGCTCGTAGCCTGGCGTTGCTTACGCAAAGGGCAACCAGGCCACAAGTTTTTAGTGCTTCCGCACGTAAAACATCGTCGTACGACGTGTTGCTGCTCAGCAGCTTGAAGCTCAGCTTCCCCTCCATCTTCAGCATAGCGGAGATCCATCGGTTCCGGCCTATTATAGGCAGTGGTACCCGAATAGTTTGCTCTCACAGAGCGAGGATTGTATTCGTTCCAACCAAGTCTGGCCGACTTGAAGTTATGCTCAGCATTAAGAGCAATTATTACAGCCTCTTCAAACGTAGAGGGGTGAACCCGAAAAACCTCGGTTCTGGCAATGCCAGTACGTAGACCTTCCATGAAGATAGTCACATGGACTGCTTCAGGCAGAGGGTCAGACTGCATTGCAGTCATGAGCGTTTGCAGCTCTTGGACATAGTACGATAGTTCTTACCCTGGCGGGTAGAAAGAAAGCGTGAACGCACGCGGTAAGCCTAGTTGGGTGTTGAGAACACCTGTACCAATTGTGACTTAAGCGACTCCCAGGTAGGAAATGCTATGTCCACCGACGTGCTACACGTCAAGACCCATTCTCTAGCTCTACCATCGAGCTTCGAGATAGCCAGCGAGACCTGTTGATGGTCGAGCGTGATCAGGCCTGATCTCATGGCCATCTCAATCTCACGGATCCAGAGGATGAGGTTCTCATTCTCCTTACCGGAGTAGTTTTTTACTTCCAATCTCCATGGACGAGGTTTAGCCTCTTCGTCTGGTACAGACACGTAGCGTGTAGGCATAGCCGACGCTATTTGGTCCCTAAAAGGGTTGCTTCATACTGCATGAAGCTTTTAACACGTGCATTAAGCACTTCAGGACCTTGTGAAGCAAGGAACTCCACGTACTCTGGACCCAAAGATGCGGTCAGCTTATCAAGCGCGACCTTTTGGGACTCAGATAGGGGAGTGGAGTTTTCCATCCTCACAGAGAATCAGTCTTAAAGACTCAGGCGTAGATTGACTCCAAGTGCTACCAAGTGTAGCGGAGCTACACAGCTCCTTAAGTCAGAGGAAGACTTAACGCTCTACGAGCAACTTAGTTCCAAAGAACTAACGACTTTACGAGTCAACAAGCTTTACAGCCTCAGATCCCTGTTCCAGGGGACCTAATGATTCAGTGAATCGACAGCACTCAGTGCTCAAGAGTAGCTATCTCAAGGAGGTGTTGCCAACTCTTTGTGATCAGTGATCAACGATCAAGACGGCTCGCAAGCCACGGGTCCTTTAGATCAAAACGGGAACTGATTTTATTTTTGTTAACGCTTATAGAATATCTTAATCCTACTCAAAGATCTTTCGTACCTAATGGCTGACACTCGTCAGCCCCTACAAACCAATACGATATTCTATATCACCTTCACAAAGGGGTAACCTCAGGTGTGTAACACCTCTGGTACAAAGTACCATAATTTCAAGCAACCCCGTTACACAAGGAGCAAAAAAAGCCTTTAAAATTAAGGGTTTTAATATAGATTATCCGTCTCGTGCCGTATTTTGGGTGATTGCACATCTGAGTACGATGGGTGATGGTATGGCTGCGAATGATACGTAAGCAACTGCTGAGCTGATCATGTAAAAGGCCTGGACCAACAGTCTGAGCGAAGATCAATACGTAGACGTTGTAAAGACGACGGGGCTGGGTTCGAAATCAATGCGTTTTTTGACAGACTTGGTGGATCGAGAGCTGTAAAGAAGGTGGATGCAAGCTGTTCGTCCTGAGATTAAGTTTACTCAATATGGTCAATGTGCTTTGTACACCCCTGATCATCACGTTGTCAGGCTACAATTGCTGACTTTCTCTCTTTCAGCTTTAGTGATGATGTCCATGCAACTATTGATAGCGCTTTTCTCGCTCTGACAAAGAGGTAAAGCAGGTGCTCGTAACTTTGGCCCCCAGCATCTTCATGTGCAAACGATACTGCAACATTAAGGCGTGCGCCGCCATAGCGCTGTTCACTCACAAGTTGCTTCATGTCGCAATGTGGGAGACTGTGCAGCCGTGCGAGAAATGAGAAAAAGGGGGACTCCAGAATTATGGGCGCACAAAGTAGCAGCAGGTCATTCGTGCAATCTGTTCACGAGACCATCTGTTGGACGAGCTCTCGCATGATCGCAACGCTAATTTTGATCATTAACTGTGAATCGTGACGCTTGACGATCACCTCAGGCATACACAGCGATTTGCGTCTGGACGATCTGCGGGACCGCGGACCACTACTCTAAAACATCATTTATGCATGTCAGAGAAGTTTTCCATACCCGCCCCACGTGGGTACGTATTGAAGTAATAAAAATTCTCCCATTCATGTGGATTTTGTAAGTAATTACGCATGGCGGGAAAAAGGGATGGGAATATGAATGGCTACTTTTTTTACTACTCTTTCGCACATGATAGGCCAGTACCCATCATGGTACATTTGCTAAGCAGGCACATGACTACATCTTTAAGTCAAGAGTCGACAATCTGGTCATTTATGGTATTACAGCTCCGATACTACAGTACCATTCGTTCGCTTCATATTGTACATGCTACCCCTTTGTTGGTTGGACATTTTAATATTCAAAAGAAAGTCCGCAACATATTATAATACCGGCAGCCTACCTTTCACACGATCTCATTTAACAAGCCTACCTGTACTCTCGATATTGCACCATTTTGCCCACACACTGTTGCAAATAGGTTACATTTGTACGTGTGATAGTTGCATCATCATGAGGTGCTACAGAGCTTTGACACAACTTCCCTTGCAGGGGATCTACACACCCTTGCAAGATTCTCCGATGCAACAGAAATTAATCAAATGAGTAGACCAAGATCGAAGATTCATCTAGAACTTGGTTGATGAAGATTTGACCGATGCGCATGCATGTGTAGTGTAACGGGGCCCCCTAAAGCTTGTACTGATGACAGTACAAGCTACTTATTCTGATGACAGAATTAGGCGGTGCCTCGTAACTTCACGTACACTCGTACGTGCAGAGGAAGACGGTAAGAAGAAGTGAGTACTTGACTAAAGTTAAAAGTAGAACTGTATTTAGTATAGTTAATGTCTGTTAATAAACCGCTGTTTATCCTCATCTAACTATGTCAGAATGCAAATGTGCATGTCAACTATTTGCTCACCACTCATTGCGTGCGTCTGTCGTGGCGCGTCTTCGTTGGTTGATATAATGGCCTATATCAACCAATTAGGAACTACTCGTAAGTGCTACAGAATATTTGTCCTCATGACAATATTCCGAGAACATAACTCTTATAGTTATATTCTATCAACAATTTCTTATAAATTGTCATGTAACGATTCACCCCGCTACATCACCCCCCCCCTAACCATCGGTCACTTTAGTGACTGATTGACTGAATGGATACTCGTCCCAAATTATTTGGGACAGGGTTTGCACTTGTTGGTTCGAGTCCACTTTCCAACATTTCATCGCATGGTTAACAAGCCCATGCGATGCGCGAGCAAGGCCGCCGAGAGCGCGTCCGCACGTCTCTGTGCAGACGCCGAAGCAGAAACAACAGCAACTGATGTCTCATCGGTTGCCATAGCGTCTCAGTCTGTATCACCTGGTGATGCAGGCGCTCGTCATGAAGACACTCATGTCTTCACAGAGTATGAGCTCGGTGTCTCATACTCTCCTGATACAGAAGACGGATCTGTATCGACGGCGATTGAATCTAAGCCACCTGCCAAGCGTGGCATGGATGATGCTATGCGTCGCAGCATCTTTGGTTCATCTGATGAATCAGATGAACCATCGCCGAAGCGAAGGCGCTCGAGATCGCAAGACTCGGGCGCTCACAGTGGTGCCGGTTCTCCTATTGACACCACTTCGCAACAAGGTGCCAGTACTTCTGTCGGCACGTTGCAAGAAGAGCGGGTCCGCAATGTCTTGCGTCTCGATCCTGAGAAGAAGGCATGGATGCCTCCAAAATCTGTCATGGATCACTTGTCGGCGACGACGAGTGATCGTTATCGAACACGATTGTTCGATTCGTCAAGGATCCATCACCTTGACCCCAGCGCGAAAGACTATCGCGCTGAACATGAGTTCTTCATCGATGCTTTCTTCAGACATCGATGGTACAGTGGGAATCACAAACGTGATGGTCCCTCACTACTTCAGGCGTGGAACGCCTACATCCATAACCTCGAGGATGTAGGTCGTGACGCTTGGAACGACAAACTTATCAAAGCTCGTGATAAGTTTGAAAAGCGAACCCCGACAGGTGCACGCTACAAGCTGCATCGTCTGTCAAGGGAGAAAGGATTACCCTGCCTCTCTTGGGGAGACTCGTGCCCATGTTGTGTGAACAACTCTGCACGAGCACCTAAGGAGGCTTACCTCCTTACCAGCCCGTGATGGCGCGTACGTATCTCTACTGAGATGTACGAAGGGATTGACAACCTGAAATCTCTTTACGACCGTGCCGGGAAGACTTTCTCCGGCGGTCCTTCTGCGGCACAGGATGTGCCGCGTCGTACTGCTCAACCAGACCCAGTACGTCGATCATCAGTTGGGAGCGGGGCTCCCAAGTATCCCAGGACGGGGGATAATCGCGCCACAGGTCGAGGTAACTCGTCCGAAGTCCGTTTACATCGCGGTGGTTCAACAGCCGGTCTACCAGATAGCGCTGGCCACCGCGAGAGTCCTCTAATGGAGGTGGAGGAGGAGGAAAGACGCTCTCCACACGATCATGTGGATCGGTGTGTTCCCGAGAGCTTCTTTGATCGCGTAACGCAAGGGTTACGCGACGATCTCGAACATGAGCGGAATAGGCGTCTCCAAATGGCGGACACTGCCTTGAAGCATCGAGCTGAGTTTGCCTTTGCTCAGCTTGAGAACGAGAGAGCTCTGACATCTCTTCGTGACGAGCTAAGGGTAGCTCGTGGGATTGTTGATCGGTCTCGGGATGAGATAACTGCTCTTCAGACCCTTGTTGATGCCCACCATCGGGAGCACAAGGCTCTCTGCGAGATGCTTGAGCGCAAGGGCGTTCTTCATCGGAAGAAGCAGCGTACTGATGGTACGGCTTAAGCCGGCCAACGTAAAACGTGGGATGTGTTCGCATCTTACGTGGTAACTCGATCGTGTATGCATTACCTAGGCGGTGCAATACACGAAATGGGCCGATGTACTTGGGTAGTAGTTTACTGCTACCCAAGTTAGTCACTACATGCTTTGGTAGATTAACCGTAGACAGTAGGACTAAGTCACCTTTATTAAATAAAAGAGTGTTTGCCCTTCCATTCTTGTCAGCGTTTTGCTTTTGCTTGTCCACCGCTTCGGCGATGGAGTCTTGCACAAAACGGACTACCGTTTCACGAGCCAGTATGAACTCATCTGATGACTCGTTTGCTTCAGTGCGCTGTGAGCGCACTGCAGAAACATCAACCTTTTCTTCAGTGAGGGCTTCCGCACTCTCACTGGCATCATCTTCTTCGATATCGATGTTATCGATATCGGCATCAAACGCAATGACTTCTTCGTCAGAGCGTGATGAGCGTGAACCAATTTGGTTTTTGCTCGCGCGAGTCCCTCCCCCCTTAAACCAGAGTTACACTCTAGTAAGGTGGGTACACGCGGATGGCGCAAGCCATTCACGTAAAACGGTGTATGTGTCGTGGACGCATGCACCGAGTTGTTGATGGCAAACTCTACCATTGGCAAGAACTCACTCCAACTCTTAAAGGAGTGTACGTATCCTCGAAGTATCTCTTCAAGGACACGATTGGCACGTTCCGTCTGACCATCTGACTCTGGATGATCAGATGTCGACATCTTCAAGCGCGTTCCGAGTGATTTGAACACAAAACGCCAGAAATCAGCAGTGGATCGTGGATCTCTGTCTGATACGAGTTCACGGGGCAACCCATGAAGTCGGAAGATGGTGTCAAAGAAGACACAAGCACAGCCACTTGCCGTGATTGTCTCTGATACAGCCACAAGGTGTACCATTTTGCTGAATCTGTCAACAAATACGAGAATACCCGTATTCCCGCGTGCGTCTTTGGGTAACCCGAAGACGAAATCCATTGAGATGGATTCCCAGCACTCAGCCGGAATCAGCAGAGGCTGTAAAGGTGCACGCAGTGAAGGACTTGATTTCACTCGTTGACAGACTTCGCATGCGCGAACGTACTTTCGCACAAACTGATACTGGCGGGGCCAGTAAAAGTCTCGACTCACCGTGAGATATGTTTTCTCCCGGCCACGATGTCCTCCTATATGGTCATCGTGGTACTCGAACATGATCCGCAAACGCAGATCAGTATCATCTGGAATGACAACACGTGGTGTCACCAGAAACGGCTGTATAATACAGTAAATCGTTGCGAGTAGTGTATCGATCTGATGCAGATCGATACGCAGACGACAATCGTTTCAACGATTCTCGAGATGGTTGTGAGAGATGTGTCAACAACTTCACAATCTCACCATCTTGGGCGTATGCCCGCCTCACATCATCATACAACATTGTAGATGGGACTGAGGACGTCATAACCGCAACAGTGACTGTCTCACTGTCGGGTTTCGCGACTGGTTCAAAGTCGGGACGACGTGAGAGTGCATCAGCGACGACATTAAGTCGTCCTGGTTTGTACTCGACCGTAAAGTTGTATTCTGCAAAGAATGACAATCACCGCGCCATTCTTTGTGAAAGGTGCGGGCTGTTTACTGCCGTGCGTAACGACGCATGGTCAGTGGAAACAACGAAGGGTCTATCTCCTAATAGATAGACTCTGAACTTCGCGAGTGCATACTTCATGGCAAGGAGTTCCTTGTCATGCACTGGATAGTTTCGCTCAGCTGGTTGCATCTGACGCGACTGATAGCAGACGACGCGTTCAACGCCTTCAAGATCGTACTGCATTAATGCACAGCCGATTGCGAAATCGCTGGCATCACAGACCACATGAAATGGCCTGTCCTGATCGGCTATTGCTAGGACTGGGGATTGTATCAAGCTCTGCTTGATACCCTCAAAGGAGCGTTGACATTCAGCGTTCCATAACCACCTCTCGTTCTTTTTCAACAAACGAGAGAGGTGTACAGTCATCTCGGCGTAATTGCGTGAATACTTATGCAAATACGCCGCTAGCCCAAGGAATTTTCGAAGAACTTTGACATCGACCGGCACAGGCCAGTCGGTGATCGCCTTGATCTTTTCGGGATCAGGACGTACACCGTTCTTACCAACGATGCACCCAAGAAGTGGTATTTCGCTTGCTGCAAATATACACTTCTTGAGGTTTGCATACAATTGATGCTTTCGCATGATTGTAAGAACTTGTCGGACGTGGTACCTGTGAACCTCAACGTCCGACTTTCCATCCATAGCTCGACTATGGATGAATACGTCATCGAAATAACTCGGCGCGAACTCTCGTACTGGTCTCAACAGATGTATTACACATCTGTTGAACGTGGCAGGGGCATTACTGAGCCCTTGTGGCATTACTAGCCATTCCCAGAGCATGCCGCTAGGCGTGCTAACTGCGGTATAGGGTATATCCCGTTCCCGCATTAGGATTTGATAGAAGCCATCCATCAAATCCATGGACGAAAAGATGGTACTCTTTGACATACCATCAATGATTACGTCCTTCCTCGGTATCGGCGTCTGAGCCGGTACCGTTGCAGCGTTCAATTTGTTAAACGCGTGCACTATCCGCCACCCTCCTGTTGCTTTTCGCACACAGAAGGTCGGAGAGCTATGTGGGGAAGTTGATTCCCTCACATGGCCCGCTGCTAAACGATCGGCAAATAACTTGTCGATCGCAAGTACTTGTTCACGAGGCAGTGGCCACTGCTTCATGACACAGTACTTCGAGCCTGGTTTAAGCTCGACTTCGTGTCGAATACCTTTATCCTTCGGTAACTCGCACGGAACAGTTTCAGGGAATACATCCTTGAATTCAACCAAATCTTCATAGAGAGGATTTTCCTTGAGCGATTCCCATGATTGGGACTCATATCGCTCAATTCGTGTCTTTTCATCTAGGACACTCTCGTCCATAGATGAACTACTGAGAACTCTCTCGTTCTCAGTAAACACTGTTGCTGACCTTATGTCGGTTACACACTCGTCGTCAGCGACGAGTATGCAGATCTGCTTGACTTTGCCACTACGCAGATCACGCAAGAACCTTTTATGTTCGAGCGTTGGCAACTGAGTGATCTCCGAAGTTAACTTCGGAGGCGCAATCAGATCAAGTGTATAAGCGCCTACACTTGATCCGTTATTGACTCTGACATTCAATGTCTCTGTCATTTCCTGGGGACTTATTCCCTCAGGCCTAGAAGGACTTATTCCTTCGGCTTCCCGGGGACTTATTCCCGCGGGTTTCGGGGAACTTATTTCCGCCGTATTTGTAATATCGGGACTTATCCCTTTACTTCCTCTAGCTGGGGTTGCGCAACCACAGCGAGATCCTCTACGAAAGACTCTCCAGTCGATCTAGGATTATCGTTTTCGCTTAACCTGAGCGATCGATTGTTTCTCTTCTAGATGTTCCCCGCTAGGGATACATCTTTGTCCCAGTCCACTCGACTTATTCGAGTGGTGGACCTTCGGCGCAACCTGTGTTTCCTCACAGCCGCCGGAACTTTGCTCCGAAGTGTAACCGTTTGGTACACTAAGGTTTTGTGCAGTCGTACTAACGACCGAACCACAAGTGAGGCCATCGCACTCACTCGTAGTACATCCACACGCTTGTGGACGCTCCAAAACGTTAATCAAATGGCCATCTGATGAACAAGCGGCAGGCATCGTTACTGTTCGATGTTGCCAGTTTACCCGTGGTTCGTACCTTCTGAGCCACGGTATTCCAAGGATGACATCAAATTTGTCATCCAAATCCAATACGATAAGTCATCGTCATATTGGGTATCTTCTAGCGTATAGTGGATCTTCACTATACGCTTCATGACGGTTACGGATGCGCCTGTCGCAAGACGTACCGTCATCCTCGTAGGAGGTGTGTCACATTCACTGAGCTTGAAATAACCATCTTCTAGCGATTGGCGTCGCACAAAATTGTTGGACGCCCCACAATCGACTAGAGCTCGAAGGGACAACTTATTCGTCACTTCGAGTTTCAAGGTAATAAGTGAGATCTCATTACCTAGAACAGCAACGCACAACGTTTGTGTGTTGGGAGCAACCTTCATTAAGAGGCCTACAAATTCTCTTGACGTTGCTGGATCAGTAGGGTGCTCCGCACCTACTGATCCTGTCCGTTTTTTGACGGTCCATCCCGTTGTTGCGTCTTTGCACCAACTGCGGACCCTCGTCCCTGCCCCTTTCTCATGGGTGGACGGTCACTACGCCCAGTGTCGCGAGACACTGGACGAGGGGCACTACACTCGTAAGCGTAGTGTCCTGTCTTTTGACATCTGTTGCATTTCTGCAACTTCTTGTAGCCTGTAGAGCGAGCCTTCTCGCTCTCTACATAACAGAGTTCCATCGGCTCTGGACCTCCGTTGTCATATCGTCTCGGTTGACGATATGATGTCGAGCTGGCGCGAGCCTGTCTCAGACTGAAGTCTTCCTGTTCCGTAATGGAAATGGCTTGTTCTAGTGAATCTAGTTCAAGTCGGAACAGGTGAGTCTTGACGGGACCATCCGCAAGACCCTACATGAACACTGAAACCAACGTGTGTTCATCCACCGGATTGGAACTTATACAACTCGTAAGATGTCGTATATATTGCGCGTAAGCGTGCACATCACGCTTACCCTGTTTGAGCTTCAAGAGTTCGGTTCGAGCCCTGAACTCAGCTCTAGGCGGTTCAAACGTTTGTCTGAGCCGCGACTTGAAGACTTCCAACGACCCAAACGCATATGGGTCGTGCAACTTGAGCCCCAGTGCCCATGTCTTCGCACGTCCTGCCAGATTTGACTGAACAAATGCAACTTGCATATCCCCGTCGTCGATGCGACGCGCCCTTATGGCGTCGTCTAATTCGACGAACCATCTCAAGAGGGAGTTTTCTTCGACTCCCCTATACTTGGAGATGTCAATCTTCAAAGTCTCGGGTCGACGCGAGTGCATCGACCCGCCAGCAGCAGTCTGCTGCTGTCTCAACAGTTCAGACTGTTGAGCACCCTGTTCTCTCAACAACTCTGCTTGTTGAGAACCTTGTTGGTGAAGCAAGGCTACTTTCTCGCGTTCTGCGTCAAGTTCATTTTGAATGAACTTGGCGATAGTAGCATGTTGGGCATCTCTATTGAGAGCCTCTAGCATGACGCTAACAGCATGGATTCCCATGGTTGAACCCATCCGTTCAACCGCATCCCATTCGACATTGCTCAAATGGGAGTAGCCGTCACACGTAGCGTGAAAGCTTCGGTCATCTTCATCATCCAACATATTCATGTTAGATGTGAACGTGGTCCTTGGACGGGCTACGAAGTGCTACCAGGTGTAATAACTACCGTGATACACCATAATAAATTGTCTGTCTGACTTTCTACGTTGCGATCTTTGACGGAAGTCTTATATTTTATCCCTAACCGATAAAGTGCGGTATTATCGTAAGTACATGGTACCAAAACTATACCACTCAAATCCACAGATCCTTTCTTGGTGTGGACACACAACAAAACCGGTCTAATATCCGCCGTGTAACTCCATTAAACGATTTTTACAGCCTACAAAGTAGCCAAATATGGAGTGTTAGAACGGGTCCTGCCGTATATACCTACAACTAATTCAACTAAAAATTCAATCAAATTACGAAAACCCCATGAAAAATTAGAACTTAAAGTTAAAACATAAGTAAAAACAAAAACAGCTTCTAAATCAAAAATAATAAAAGAATAGCTACTAAATAAAAAATAACATCAAAGATTTTTCTTTCATACTTTGTTTTGATTTTTGATGGCATATTTTTGATTTTTTTGCTAAGTAACCAATTTTTAATTAAGGTACACAAACAGTATTATACCGTGCTCACTAGTATACCGTAAATTGTTTTCGGCAACAAACTGTTTTTAGTAATTGTTGCCGTAGATAATTGGTCGGCAGCGGTCACATTAAATCCCGTTCACCTTGAATACTTACGAATCACTACATATTAAGCTCAATTCGCATCAAAAAAAAGATTTTCATCCTCTAGTGCATACCATGGAAAACAGGCGCGTTTCCAAGAAAAGCCTCGAGAAGCGGGTAGTGATTAAGTGGATCGAAGAACCTGGTGGTCATGTTTTTACGCGCGCAATAGAGCACTTTTAAGCGGAGCGAGGGTGCATCGTTTCAGGGGCCCAGATTCGCTACTGGCGGAATGAACGAAGCCATTACGAACTCCCCGGCGCTGCAGATGCGTGTGACAGGCGGCGGTAATTAATCACGGTTTGACAAGGTGAAGGATGTCCTGTTTTGATAAAATCTTTTTTTAGATTGAAGAAGAAATAGGCGTCGCATCAGTGGTATAAAGCATCTGCAAAGAGCTCTTTGAAGCTGAGCTGGACGACGATGACTTCTGCGCATCATGTAACGGGCTACCCCGTTACATGATATTGACATTAAACGGTGTCAAAAGGAATATTCTCTACCGTGACAATATCCTACCAATATTATCCGAGATGGAAAGAATTGAAGGAAAAATATCCCCTATTAGGATAATGTTCACGCGCTGCCTGTAAAGATTAAATTGATAAATGACGTATCAACCATAGATTACCACAAATCGCTGCTAGACGCGCGCAATGAGTGGTGAGCAGGTTGTCGTCATACGACGACGTAGCTTATTACAGCTAGATAAAGATTAAAGTCATATTGATAGCTTAACTGTATTGAATGCAGTTCTCTTTTTACCTTTACTTAAACGAGTCGTTTAATTAGATTAGCTTCCTCTGCACGTACTAGTGTACGTGAAGTTTCGTGGTACCCAGACAAAGGGTGCCCCGTTACACATCGGAGTAGTGGCCCGCTCGCTTCATGTTACTATGCCCTCTCTCTCCGACGTACGACCAAACTAAGCGTTTTGAGTGACGACGAGCTCACTGCGCGCGCCGTGTGATTCTTAAGTAACTCTCATAGAAGAAGAGCAAGCTCGACCTCAGCGTCAAGCTCTTGATCAACGTGACGTCATTATTCTTCGGAGACATGCGGCACGATACTAAGGACTCTACCGACGCTTGTCATGTCGTTTTGCGGTCGACAGTTCACAGCCACGGAGACAAAGCTGCCACCTCTTTTGATCTGGAAAGGCGTGGAAATACCGATTAAGATGAGCGACGCGGTTTACGTTGCGTATCAAGAGTGTGCCTGAATGAAAAGTGAGCTTTTCATTAAGTGGAACGACATGATGCTTCCAGCGCTTCTAAACTTCTGGGACGGCAAATGCATCGTGTTGGACTCGATGCGAGCGCATATAGCGAAGGACATAAGGCAAAGTGCATCAGCAATAAGATCGATATGATGGTTATTCCTGGAGGTCTAAAGACGTACCTGCAGGCAGGGAGTGTCGGAATTCTAATTTGTTCAAAGATTGTCTATCCAGCGTGATTGATGACTGGTAGAGATCTGATCGGGTGTAGTACACCAAAACGGAAATCCGCGGCCACCGCGCGTGGGTGAGGTAGTGGCTTAGGTCAGCAATTCGTGGAAGCTGTCCCCAACGATGTTGTCCACAAGTCAATCTCTGCATCTGGGCTCGATGTTGATGTCCGCGACTGGCACATTGCTAAGCACGACGTGTAACGGGGCACCCTTTGTCTAGTTGCCGTAAAATTTCACGTACACTAGTACGTGCAGAGGATGCTAATCTACTTAAACGACTCGTTTAAGTAAAGGTAAAAAGTGAACTGTATTTTATATAGTCAAGCTATCAATATGACTTTAATCTTTACCAAACTATACTAAACTACGCCGTTGTATGACGACAACCTGCTCACCACTCATTGCGCGCAACTAGCAGCGATTGGTGTCAATTTATGGTTGATATGTCTTATATCAACCAATCTTGAGCAGCGCATTAATTTTTTCTAAAGGGGAATCGTAACGGGGTGAATCGTTACATAACAATTTATAAGAAATTGTTAATAGAATATAACTATAAGAGTTATATTCTCAGAATATTGTCATAAGGACAAATATTCTGTAGCACTTACAAGCAGTTCCTAATTGGTTGATATAGGCCATTATATCAACCAACGAAGACGCGCCACGACAGACGCACGCAATGAGTGGTGAGCAGATAACTGATTTAAACATTTGTATTTAGACATAGTTAGATGAAGATAAATAGTGATTTATTGCAGACATTAACTATTATAAATACAGTTCTACTTTTTACTCTAACCAAGTACTCGCTTCTTCTTACCGTCTTCCTCTGCACGTACGAGTGTACGTGAAGTTACGAGGCACCGCCTTATTCTGTTATCAGAATAAGTAGCTTGTACTGTCACCAGTACAAGCTTCAGGGTGCCCCGTTACACCTGGTAGCACTTCGTAGTCCGTCCAAGGACCGCGTTCACATCCAACATGAATATGTTGGATGATGAAGATGACCAAAGCTTTCACGCTACGCGTGACGGCTACTCCCATTTGAGCGATGTCGAATGGGATGCGGTTGAACGAATGGGTTCGACCATGGGCATCCATGCTGTTAGCGTCATGCTAGAGGCTCTCAATAGAGATGCCCAACATGCTACTATCGCCAAGTTCATTCAAAATGAACTTGACGCAGAACGCGAGAAAGTAGCCTTGCTTCACCAACAAGGTTCTCAACAAGCAGAGTTGTTGAGAGAACAAGGTGCTCAACAGTTTGAACTGTTGAGACAGCAGCAGGCTGCTGCTGGCGGGTCGATGCACTCGCGTCGACCCGAGACTTTGAAGATTGACATCTCAAAGTATAGGGGGGTCGAAGAAGACTCCCTCTTGAGATGGTTCGTCGAATTTGATGACGCCATAAGGGCGCGTCGCATCGACGACGGGGATATGCAAGTTGCATTTGTTCAGTCAAATCTGGCAGGACGTGCCAAGACTTGGGCACTGGGGCTCAAGCTGCACGACCCATATGCGTTTGGGTCGTTGGAAGTCTTCAAGTCGCGGCTCAGACAAACGTTTGAACCGCCTAGAGCTGAGTTCAGAGCTCGAACCGAACTCTTGAAGCTCAAACAGGGTAAGCGTGATGTGCACGCTTACGCTCAACATATACGACATCTCACGAGTTGTATAAGTTCCAATCCGGTGGATGAACACACGTTGGTTTCGGTGTTCATGCAGGGTCTTGCGGATGGTCCCGTCAAGACTCACCTGTTCCGGCTTGAACTAGATTCACTAGAACAAGCCATTTCCATTGCGGAGCAGGAAGACTTCAGTCTGAGACAGGCTCGCGCCAGCTCGACATCATATCGTCAACCGAGACGATATGACAACGGAGGTCCAGAGCCGATGGAACTCTGTTATGTAGAGAGCGAGAAGGTTCGCTCTACAGGCTACAAGAAGTTGCAGAGATGCAACAGATGTCAGAAGACAGGACACTACGCTTGCGAGTGTAGTGCCCCTCGTCCAGTGTCTCGCGACACTGGGCGTAGTGACCGTCCACCCATGAGAAAGGGGCAGGGACGAGGGTCCGCAGTTGGTGCAAAGACGCAACAACGGGATGGACCGTCAAAAAACGGACAGGATCAGTAGGTGCGGAGCACCCTACTGATCCAGCAACGTCAAGAGAATTTGTAGGCCTCTTGATGAAGGTTGCTCCCAACACACAGACGTTGTGCGTTGCTGCTCTAGGTAATGAGATCTCACTCATTACCTTGAAACTCGAAGTGACGAATAAGTTGTCCCTTCGAGCTCTAGTCGATTGTGGGGCGTCTAACAATTTTGTGCGACGCCAATCGCTAGAAGATGGTCACTTTAAATTCAGTGAATGTGACACACCTCCTACGAGGATGACGGTACGTCTTGCGACAGGCGCATCCGTAACCGTCATGAAGCGTATAGTGAAGATTCGCTATACGCTAGAAGATACCCAATATGACGATGACTTTATCGTATTGGATTTGGATGACAAATTTGATGTCATCCTTGGAATACCGTGGCTCAGAAGGTACGAACCACCGGTAAACTGGCAACATCGGACAGTAACGATGCCTGCCGCTTGTTCATCAGATGGCCATCTGATGAACGTTTTGGAGCGTCCACAAGCGTGTGGATGTACTACGAGTGAGTGCGATGGCCTCACTTGTGGTACGGTCGTTAGTACGACTGCACAAAACCTTAGTGTACCAAACGGTTACACTTCGGAGCAAAGTTCCGGCGGCTGTGAGGAAACACAGGTTGCGCCGAAGGTCCACCACTCGAATAAGTCGAGTGGACTGGGACAAAGATGTATCCCTAGCGGGGAACATCTAGAAGAGAAACAATCG